TAAGGCCTGGCTAGTAGCTGAGGACTTGAAATTGTAAGCCCTGGGTACAGTATGTCCAGATATTTTACCAGGTAGTAGCGTTAGTGACAATTTAACATTTTTCAAAATATGGTTTAATAATGAAAAAAGGTAAAAACGGGCAAATAAAATATTTACATAAAAAAAAGGATATTATAAGAAAACAGAGACAATAATGCAACAGGGAAATAAAAAGGAGTTGGACTTGAAAATACTTAAAGTACAACTAAATAAAGCCAAATAAAGCTAATGAAAGTGCCACATTTTAATAAATATCAAAAATAAAAAAATAATTACCTCAGCATACACCTGCCATACCTCTCCATATATGTCCCTCCACTGCTAGACCCAGACAGTGATGGTGGGAGGAGTTTTGCAGAGCTGGCACGTCGTTGCCTTTCACTATGCTAGCAAATGAATCTCCCACAGGGAACTGCAGTCCCCATTATTCAATGGGCAGTTGTCAGTGGCATAGGTGGGTCAAATGTGAAAAGTGGGTGAAGCCTTGGTACATCTTTAAAGATGACTGACAGGCTAGGGAAAGGAAGCAATGCCCCCCCCTCCCCAGTGACTTCACTGTGCCGTGCTGTAGCCCCTTGAGTAACAGCATAACCCAAAAGGGGACAAGTGAACCGTTTGGAAAGAGAAATCTGTGTTATCCCCACAATAAAAGGAAGCTGGCACTCTGGAGGAGTAGGTACATTTCTCTAAATCCTTGCATTTACAAGACAAAGACAGGCATATTTTACATTCTACTAAGCTCAATCACATATTGATTTTTAGTTTTTGATCTTCATTCTACTTCAAAACAGAACTACACTGCATCTGAGCACCACTAACCAAAAACTATTTAATTAATTTTTAATATTCAAAGCAAGCACCCCCATTTATCCAAGTCTCCAAGCTTTATTTTTCTGAGGGATTACTTTGAAAAACTCCCTCCTAGCCTCGTGGTCATCTTGAGTAAGGGCAGATGATTAATGTAGCATTTACTTCAAGGATGTTCAATTCATATTAGCCGACGCATGGACATGTAGCAGGAAGTTTTTTTCTGTTTTTTTTTTTTAACCTTTAGCCCAGCTGTGGACAAGCATCAGAGCTCATCTGTCAGGTGGAAGCATTCGGGCGGCAGCACTGTCGACCGATTGCTTCCACACAGCCCACTATGGTGTCAGCCTCCGCCCCCTTGCCCACTATGTCTCCCGGGCTCCGCCTGCCCATCTGTGGGCCCGAGACCAGTTCAGTGGGTGCTGGCAGGTATAGGGGAGGGAGGAAAGCAGACACATACGCTCTCCTCCCTTTCTTGTCCTGACCCAGAAGTGATGTGACGTCACTTCTGGGTACGTTGACAAAATTTCATGGCGATCAAGGCCGGGAAAGAATGTAATGCAGTGCGAAGTGCACTGCATTACATCCACTGTAGTACAGGTGAGACATGCAGGGTCTTTTAGACCCTGGATGCGTCAAAAAAAAAAAAAAAAAAAAAAGAGAACCAGTCACCAAAAAAAAAAAAAAAATCACCACATAGGGGACTTGTTTGTCTCCTATGTGATGGGGGAAAAACAAAAAAGTTAAAGTAAAAAAATATATATTTTTTATTTTTGCTAAATTAAAGTTACACCAAAGCATATAATCCCAACCCCCCTCCCCCCCACAAATTTTTTTTAAGACCCCCACATATGTATGCATGAGGACGATTACGATACACGCCATAATGCTAAACCAATGAATTATAGGGGGCTTTAAAAGCATCACCTAAAGAAAATATAGGGTACTAAATTTTGTTGCCATTCACAAGCACACGGAAATTTAAGGTTTGACATGTTGGATATCTATTTACTCAATGCAACCTCATCTTTTATATTTCATCAAAAAATTGGATAATGTATTGCTTTTGAGCCTTAAAATTAACTTAAGTGTATTTATTGAAATTTTGCACTTCCCAGACCTTTGTGATATTATCCGATATAAAAAATGGGAACTACCACTATTTATTCTCTAGGGTCTCTGATTTCAGAAAACATAAGATTTGGGGGTTTTGTGTAATCTTCAGGCCTTAAATACATTTTTCAAAGTGTGCAAACAAACGCAAAAACGGCTCTGGCAGCGAAAAAGATAAAAGGAGAAGCCCAACACTCCCCTTACTGGACAAGTACCCAATCGGTGCTCATTGCACTGCAAGGTCTCTCTCCTCCCAGCTAGTCCCCAGGTAAAGTGCTGGAGACAGGCAGGGAGGTGAGGAGGAGATAAACAAAGCAATGTTAAAAATATTAAACGTTTAAGTCGCCATAAAGCCCCCCCCTTTTTTTTTTTTTTTTTTTTTTTAAAAGCCCCAGACATTACTTAAAGCACCTAGATTTAAATATGGTTTTGGTTAAAAAAAAATGTATTTTCTTCATCAGGACAAGTAGATTGTCATAAGGAACAAGTAGATTAGGGAACAGATTAGTCCCTGGACAAATAGTTCCTTAAAACATTTCCACACCCCTGTACTTCCTGGAAGGCATCTGCCCTTAGCTCAGGCATGCAGATTAGAAAGCCCCTCCTGGGATGTGTGACATCTTTGCCTAGGCATGGAAACCAGGAAGTAACTGAAAAATTTAAAATTATAGTTTAAAAGAAGAAAACATGATATCATTTCCCATCTATTTTACTAATGTTAGCAGCATAAGGATTAAAAATAGTCAATGTTGAGCAAAATTCTGCTTTAACAATGTCCAAGTAATTAGCAAATTGCAAAGGTGGCTCTCAGATATTCCTTTTTTTTTATGGTTAAATGAGAGCTGTCAAATGTGGGTGCAGTCCCTTTTCTGGACCTCGAGGGGGGTGTTAACAGAACTGACTTGACCAATCACCAGGTCTAAAGGTGTGGCAGCATGTCCCAGATAAAATTTTCTATAGGTATTAATATATTGGAATACCTACAAGTTACAGACTGCTGACCTGCATATTATCCAGCATGAAATTAACTTTTGAATGGATATAAATATGTGGGGTGTCGGAGGTCTAATTTACCTAGGAGGGGTAATGTGTCCACTGCAAATGATCAAGGATCCCTAGACTGAGTTGGGATTAGGGGCGACTTTTGTAAATCCAGAACTCCCTCAAATCCACTCTCTCCTAAACAAAGAAAAGTGCTGGTTGGTCTGTGAAGCAGCGCTCCTGGTCTTCCACACTGCTTATCAGAGATCCACCTTTACTGTCTGGCTCTGTACACTATATGTTTTGTCACATACAACTTTGTAAAGAAGATACCCGACTGTAGACTGTGCCATCATATGTGCCTACCCTAAAAAAACATCTAAACGTTTTTGCCCTTGACAAAGTTCTATGTGATGAATTATGTTGGGAGCAGAGCCAGACAGGGCAGGTAGATTTTTGCTAAGCAGTTTAGGAGACCATAGTGTAGGAAACTGGCAGCTACTTTTCTCTATTGTAGAGTTAGCACCCAGCTAGCTGCAGGATTTTGCAGAGGCTGTTTCTTGGAGTTTCATTTGCACTGCAACATTGTATCATTGTGAGTACATAGATGCATTTACAGTAAAGGTCTTTTTAAACCATATCACACGATGTGATGTTTCTTTTTGAGGTGACCATCTATTCTCCTGGATCCAGACAGTGGAGGACCACTTCCTTGGATTTTAGACAAGCTCAGCTTGCTTATCTTGAGAAAAGACAGGCATATTATTTTGGCGAGTGCAATCTTGATTTGAAGGAGAAGGGATCACTTGTTTATATGAGAATTCACTGGGTAAACAGTGCATAATCTGCTGCTGCTACCTTTTTTTAGCGCATATGTATATTATTTCTTTTAGCTTCTACAATATGTTTTTAGAATAAGGAAAGCGCGCGTATACTATATGAAGGAATAATTTACTTCATATTATGTTTTATTACAGAAAACTGCTGATGTAATGCGCGATAGCAGGTGAACATTCCTCCCTTGTCAGAATGGAACTGGAGGAATGTGCCCCAGAAAATGCATTACCAGACAGGTGGAGGGAGTTAGATCCCCATGAAATAAACAGGGAACACTTTGCACGGGGTTGGACCTAGGTTTCTCACTACCTGAAGATGTCATTTAGAATTTCTGACCACCTACATCTCCTTTCTAATCCCACCAGTGCCCCACTACCTTCAAAAAGAAATGTGTGGCCCTTTAATACTTGCAGCTTTACACAAAAAATGCTCTACAGCAACCTGCAGTCCCACAGAAGCACCCTTGTTTTGCTGTCACTTGTAGTCCCATTACAGGATATTTTTCTGGTGTGATTTGAGAAGAGAGGAGCTCGCTGCCTCCTACATTTTTGGTGATCTGAGCCTATTGGACCACCCATACATTCCGCTACTGCTTTCTAGTTCTGGGGACAGCCCAGGAGTCCATTACCATAAAAGTAAATTTAAAAAAAGGTGTAAAAGGCTAAAATAAACATTTTACCCTTGTTTACACCAAAAATAAAAGGTAAAAGGGTATCAAGCAGGGCTACTGCCAGGGCACTCATAGTTCCATATCACAGGAACAACCCCCCCAGTTGTGGATCAGTGCCCTTGACCTGTATTGCACCCTACCAGTCAGCAAGGGAATATATGATTGTGTAGGGTCCCGTTTGGTGGGGTCCAGCAACGAGCAGCATCGTTATAGGCTGCTGCCCCATTTTGTCCAGGTAACATTCCTCTAAGTGTTGAAAAAACCATAGGAAACAGATCTCGAAAAAGCCGGTCTCCTAAACCCAGATGAAACCTTTATGAAGCATGCTATGTTTTTTGTGCAAAGACTGTAAAGACCATCACCTAAGAATCTAGCAAAAAAACTTAAGCCTTAGCTAACGGGGAGGAGTTATGCCTGGAAAGGGATTTCCTGTCCCTTTTTTGCTTGTGTTCAATCAGCAGAAGGTGGCAGTATAACCATATTGTAATGGAGATGAAGATACCTTGTGTCCTGGGATGTACAATAAAGAAAAATTACATTACTATTCCTTTACCTTCAAGGCTTCAACTTGTTGAACAAGCTCCTCAATCATAGTCTTCTGATCTTCAGCCCAACGTGGTGGTGTCTTTGATGAAGACTTATAAAAGCAAAAAAAAGAAAAGAAAAAGAAAAGCTTACCCCAAGACAAGGATTTAATTCAAAATGTAACATTCATACCCACTTTTACAAAATCTCGAGACAATTGACAATCGAAGACTATGGTTTTAAAAGCATTTTGGATTCTCTGCACCAATCAAGTGTCAATTTGCTTCGGTTTGTAACCTATAAAAATTAAAAAAAAAAAAAAAATCCACACAACATGGTGTATACCTTTGGCGTTTTACTCGGTGACCGAGAAAACTTGGATGGAGATGGTGTAGAATGTTTAATTCCGGAAGCAGCTATAAAGGATTGAGTATCTCTGAAGTTTGGGCTTTGATTTTCAGGGGCTTCATCAAGATTTCTTCTTACTTCATCCAAGATTTCTTCAACAGATTCAACAGGCACTGATAGCTGAAGGAAAACAGGACAGTTTAAGAACTGTGGTCTAACTGAAAAGAAAATGTTGATGTTATTAGAACTGTGTTTCCTCAAATGGAATGCAGGCAAATACCGAAAAAAAGTCGGTAATTATATGCATCACCTATTGTTTTCAGGAGAGGAAAAAAAAAAAAAATGTATATATTTTATATGCACACAGTAATATGCAAAAGTTTTCAGCAGATACAGCGGGTAAAATAAGTATTGAACACGTCAGCAATTTTCTCAGTAAATTTAATTCTAAAGGTGCTCTTGACAGGAAATTTTTCACCACATATCAGTAACAACCCATGCAATCCATACTTACAAAGAAACCAAAACAAAAGTTAAGAAGTGAAGTTATGTCTAATAAAATGGAATGACACAGGGAAAAAGTAATGAACACATGAACAAAGGGAGGTACAAAAAGGCATAGAAAGCCAAGACACCAGCTGAAATTTATCAGTAATTAGAAAGCAATCCTGCCCCTTGTCAGTGCAAATTAATATCAGCTGGTTCAGTCTCAACTGATAGCCTATAAAAAGGTGCCTCATTACCAATGTGTCAAGAAAAATCTCGAGATGGGTAAAAGCTCTCTCAAGACCTTCGCAAACTTATTGTTGCAAAACATACTGATGGCATTGGTTACAAAAGGATTTCTAAATTTCTCAATGTTCCATGAGTACTGTTGGGGCCATAATCCGGGAGTGGAAAGAATGTCATTTCACCATGAACCAGCCACAACCAGGTGCTCCTTGCAAGATTTTTGACAGTGGAGTGAAAAGAATTATCAGAAGCATTGTACAATTGAGCCAAGGCCCATTTGTGGAGAGCTTCAGAAAGACCTGGAATTCGAAGGTACAATTGTTTCATAGAAAACAATAAGTAAAGCACTCAACTGCCATGGCTTGCATGCACGCTCACCACCAAGACTCCATTGCTGAATAAAAAGCACTTTAAATGTTGTGCAGCAAACCTTAAACAAGCTTCAGACAAGCCTGTGAAATACTGGGAGAATACAGTCTGGTCAGATGAGACCAAAATTTAACTCTTTGTATGCCATAATACTAACCATGTTTGGAGGTCAAATGGCACTGCACATCACCCCAAAAACACCATACCAACAGAGAAGTTGGAAGGTGGGAACATCATGCTGCGGGGCTGTTTTTCAACATACGGTACTGGCAAACTTCATGTCATTGAAGGAAGGATGGCTGAAAAAATGAACTAAGACTTTCTTGATAAAAATCTAAGGATAGTGGTTGGAGGATCCATATTAATAGCAGTATCTTTTAAGTTACTTCAATGGATATATACATCATACATGTGAGTGGAACACTGTTTTATCAATAAATGTTTTATAAAAGATAAAGCACTATGTTTTGGTCATCTTTTTTCGGTATATATCTGATGGATATGGACAGTAAGGAGAGTGGATGAGACCCATGCTTACTGGACATCAGATAACAGTCCACACAAGGGACACATGCTATATATGACCTCACTTAGCGGTTTGGTCATATACACTAGGTGAGAGCACAGCCAGTGGAGGTTTAAGCACATTGGTTTGCATTGTTTTATCACACCAGGTGGTTCAAGAAGTTGGTTGTAATTCAAGCATCTGTGAAGATACCAATTTATGGACACATATAAAAAGACGTTCAAGTTGGTTGATTTTGGTTTAAATTCAGAAGTGAAGCGCTGCACATGAATGATATTTTATCTTGATAAAAATCTGCTAGCAGGATGATGAAGATGAAATGAGGGTGGACATTTCAGCAAGATTTGATCCCAAACACAAAGCCAAGAAAACTCTCCATTGGTTTCAAAGAAAGAAAAAGCTGAAAGAATGACCCAGCCAATCACATGATTTAGTCTAATAGAAACATCTATGGAAAGAACTAAAGATCAGAGTTCATAGAAGAGGCCCCAGGAACCTTGAAGATTTGAAGGCTGTTTGTGTGTTATATAAAATGGGCCAAAATCACACCTGAGTAATGCATGCGACTAGATTCTCCATACAGGAGGCGTCTTGAAACTGTCATTACCAACAAAGGATTTTGTACAAAGTATTAAATAATTTCAGTTAGCGCATTCAATACTTTTTCCCTGTGTCATTCCATTTTATTACACTTAAAATTCTGTACTTATATGTTTTGGTTTCTTTGCATTGCATGTGTTGCGACCAACATGTGTTCAAAATTTCATGTCAATAGCACCTTTAGAAATATATTTACTGAGAAAAATGGTGACATGTTCAATACTTATTTTACCCGCTGTATGAAGAAATGCTATAAAAGAATGTATTCAAAAATATATTATTTTTATCAATTTACAAAATGCAAAGTGAGCAAACATAAGAAAAATCTAAATCAAATCCATATTTGGCGTGACTACCCTTTGGCTTCAAACCAACACCAATTCTTACACTTGCACTCTTTGTACACTTGAGTGTCTGCAGGCCACCATGAAGCCTGATGGAGGTTCCTTGCAAGTTTTGGGCAGCATTTCTGCAAATGGAGTTGGAAATTTGGTCAGGATCAATAATTTCTTCAACGCTGAGAAATACAGGCAGATACTAATCAATCATGCCATATCATCGGGTAGGTGTGCGACTGGCCCCAAAAATATTCTGCAGCAGGACAATGACCACAAACATATAGCCAATATCATTAAGAACCATCTACAGCATAAAGAACAAGGAGCTCTGGAAGTGATGGTTGGCCCACGCAGAGCCCTGATTTCAACATAGAATCTGTCTGGGATTACATGAAGAGAGATAAGGATATGAGGCAGCCTACATCCACAGAAGATGTGGCTAGTTCGCCAAGATGTTTGGACAACCTACATGTCAAGTTCCTTCAAAAACTGTGTGCAAGTGTATCTAGAATGCAGTTTCTAAAATCTAGGTGCAGTTTTAAAGGCAAAGTTAATTTACTTTCCATTTTAATTGATAAAAAAGAAACAATTAACACTTCTATTTCTGAAAGCATTCTTAATTTACAGCATTTTTTCACAACTGCCTATGATTTTGCACAGTATTGTGTATATCAGTGCATTCAGAAAGAATTCAGGCCCCATTCACTTTTTTTTTAAATTTGATATCTTGCAGCCTGGTACTATAGTTGTTTAGATTAATTTTTTTCCCTCATTAAACTACACTCAGTACACCATGACGACACATTTATTCACACATTGGTATAAGTATTCAGATCAAAAGTCATGAGGTAAAGGAACTGCCTGCAGAGCTTATAAACAGGATTATTGCAAGGCACAGATTTGGGGAAGGCTACAAATAAAATTTCTGCTGCACTGAAAGTTACCAAGAGCACAGTGGCCTCCATAATTCTCAAATGGAAGAAGTTTGGCACAACCAGGACTCTTCCAGGAACTGGTTGCCCAGCAAAATTGAGCAATTGGTGGAGAAGGGCCTTAGAAAGAGTGGTGATTAAGAACCCAATGGTTGTTCTCATTGAGCTCCAGAGATCCTATGTGGAGATGGGACAAAGTTCCAGAATGACAGACATCACTGCTGCCCTCCACCAATCTGTGATTTATGGCTAGATGAAAGCCTCTCCTCAGTTTGGAGTTCACAAAAAAGCACCTGAAGGACTCTAAAACTGAGGAACAAGACAGTCTGGTCTGATAAAACCAAGACTGAACTGTTTGGCCGTCTAGCCACTCTGCCATAAAGCCCTAATCGGTGGAGAGCTGCAGTGATGGCTGCCCTTCTCGAACTTTGTCCCATCTCCACACAGGATCTTTGGATCTCAGTCAAAGTGACCATCAGGTTCTTGGTCACCTCTTTTACCAAGGCTCTTCTCCTCCAACTGCTTGGTTTGGCTGGGAGACCAACTCCGGGAAGGGTCCTAGTCGTGCCAAACTTCTTCCATTTCAGAATTATAGAGGCCACTGTGCTCTTGGGAACCTTCACTGCATCAGACATTTTTTGTAGCCTCTCTCAGATGTGTGGCCTCATAGTATTTTTTCTTGGTACAGTATGCATTGTCAACTATGAGGCCTTTTATAGAGAGGCGAGTGCCTTTTCAAATCATGTCCAATCAACAGAATTTACCACAGGTAGACTCAAATCAAGGTGTAGAAACATCTCAGAAATGATCAAGAGAATTGGGAGGCACCTGAGCTAAATTTCAAGTGTTGTTGCAAAGGATCTGAATACTTATGCCAAAGTGATATTTCAGGTATTTTAATTTTTCATGTTCAAAAAGCAAGTTTATTAAAAATGAGTTGTAATGTACATACTTAGCACATGTAACCATACAGAGGAAACATGCAAGCGATACTGAGCAAAAGCATGCAAATGGAGAATTATAGGTGGTAGTTACATTGAACAAGTATCCATGCATATTTCCCCATCATACAGCAGACCGATATAAAATCAAGTCCAGAAATTAAAGATGGGTTCCCAGATATATTGAGGGGAGGCATCTTAGATGCATGTGGCAGGAGTTGCTAACCATCTGTTCCACACCTTATTGTATTTAGCAGGACAACCTCAGTGGGTGTAAATAAGCTTTTTTATAGGGAAGAGTAAGGTTCACCTCACGTACCCAAAACTCAAGTGTGGGGGTGTTGAACTGCCTGCATCAAATTTTTGTCAATCTAAAGGACCACAAATAATGTTTCATGAAGGAATATAGTTTAAAATGCATCTGTGTCAGGGTCTGGGAGAAGACCTAATTGACAGGGATTGAGATATAGAGATAAAGGGGAGTCCATGTGATCATGTAAGAACCTGAACTCAGTAGGTTTGTACAATAGGGCATGACCACGTAAGATGATCAAAAGTGCCTGCTTGTGTGTCATGCATAGGGGACATAATGGACTGTGGGAAGGCTTGTTCAGGATACCTGAACTGGAGTCAGGTAGGCCTTGTGCAGTATGTATAATCAAGTTAAGCGATCAGATACCCTTGGGATACTTGTTTGCAATTGTCTACAATTATCTCACAGTACGCATCCTCTATTTCCCATAGGTCCAGCTCCCACTTGATTTTGGTTCAAAAGGCAAATTTGGTTGCAGAAGGTGTCGACAGTGTGGTATAGAGAGCACAGATCAGTTTTACAGGGTCTGAGCCCATAATTATATCTAACGCTGGTAATGAATCCATGGAGGGGGGCAAATCCGAAAGCTGAACCCGCATCGCATGTCAAAGCTGTAGATGGAATAGCATGGAGTGGGGAAGGGAGAATTCAGTTTGTAACTCTGCAAAAGTTTTTAGCCCTGCGGTGGTGAACAACTGGTGTAAATATAGGACCCCTCTTGAATCTGAAGCAATTCAGGCAGACTACAATTAAACCATAATAAAGTCTGGGCTACCAAGCCTAGTCAAGGCTAGTCCCCAAATGCATTGGTGGTGAAAAAAGATGATAGAGCAAGTATGCTGGGAACCAAGATTCCGTGCCCCTCGGAAAACAGAATGCAGGGGTGTATGAACTGGATGCATTGGCTGACCACAGACCAGAGCTTGGTACCTCCCCCCAAATGTTTTTTTTTTTAAATGGTAGAAGTGAGATAGCCGAGCTGCTATATAATACAAATTGAAATCTGGCAGGGCAGCACCTCCCAAGGCAACTGGGTTTGTCAGTGTCAACCATGGTAATTTAAGTTTACTAGTAGCCCATACAAAAGTACTCAATATGGAATCAATTGTTTTGAAAATTTTAAGAGGCAAGTATACTGGGGAATGCCAGAAAGTATAACAATTTGGGTAGTAGAACCAATTTAATCAAATTAATTGTTCCCAAGCACCCAGTGCTAGTCTCGCCCATACTTGGGTTCAATATTCAGAGGGATATAATCTTGGATGGATCGGGATACTTGTACCAGCAGGTAGCAGAGGCCAGTTTTTATTTTTAACAAATTCACAGACATTTCTAAAATTCTGTTTTCACTTTGTCATTATGGGGTACTGAGTGCAGATTAATGAGAAAAAAAATGAATTTTAAAACTGTAGAATCAGGCTGCAACATAACAAAAGTGAAAAAACTGAAGGGGGTCTAGAGAGAGAGAGAGAGAGAGAAACAAACAGACAAATACATACAGCACAAAACTAATCAAAGCTCTTATGTGAAAAGTAATGGCAAAAGTGAAAGAAGTGGTAGATTACCTTTGCTGCCAGGGATGGATCTGTAGCAACTTCATCAAGAATCTTGATAAGATAGGATTTACATTTCCGCATGAAATTCTGATACTCCTCCTGCTCTTCAGAAGACACTGCATCATTCTCAATATCTTCTCCTTTTCTCTGGTATACCTTTACAGTTATAAAACAAGCAACACAAAATGAGAGCAAATTGGAGTTGCACTTCAAATGCAAACCCAAACTTCCATTTTTAAGTTTCAGTCTACGGTGTCTCTCTCAAATTGTCAATCTAGCAAAATCTATTTTATTGTACAAAGTATATTTTTACAAATACATTGACCTCATCATACAAAGGAAATATTTTAAGAGACAATGTGGAGTCTAAAAGATTACTATGGGTCTAAAATGATTACTTGAGTCTTAAATTCCTAAATGTGAAACATATATAAGAAATAACTCACTCTAGCTATTAGAAAATTAGGAGTTTTTGTCTGGACAGGAGTTTTTTTTTATCCGATTATACAATGTTCAAATTCTGCAGCAAGGCTTTTAAACAATTCTATATACAAAGAACCGGGAGAAAGGTTTATTGACTATATTCAAACATGGCTAGGAAGTGTGTGGACAATACACATACATACCAATGCAAGATTCCAGTAAGAATCAACACTCCTAATGGCTTCCAAAGCTAGTATAGCATCATCATTCTTTCCCTCAAAAATATCCATTTTGGCAAATGCAATGCCAGCTTCATCTTCCAGATCTCTTACTTCAGACAACTAGATAAAACAAATTAAATATATTGACATTTGTGGCTTATAGCACTCGCCAATAGGTCACATCACAGATAAGGGAATAACAGATTGTTATTTCACTTTGTAATGACTGACTGGTTACCGTCCAATATAAGTAAGCAAGAATGGGCCTTCAGTATAAGCATTGAACAGTTCTTTTTAATGACATTAAATTCTCAATGATCCTTACTGGATGTTGTAGACAAATGGTCTCTAAACTTTCCAAGCAAAGGCCAGTTTACTGGCATTTAGAATTTAGGGGGGTCAGACTGGTCAGTCGAAGTTGAAAATGCTCCAGGAGCACTGGGAGTAAACAATTATTCAGGCTAAGTGGTCAGTAAGAGTAAAAAAAATAAATTACAAAAGTGTCTGTGGTTAGAAGGAGGAGAGACGAGAGGGAGGGGCCTGAACATGGCGGCACGGGAGAGTGTGGAGTAAGCACTCCCCGTTAACCTCCCCCGGTAATCCTCCCTATGGGGTCCCAACAATCTAGCTAGCTGTGCTGGAGGGCGGACAGAGACTCACTTGCCTGGAAGGGGTTTCCCGGAGACAGTGCGGCGGCTTGCCCGTCGTGAGGTGGCGAGGCTCCGGTTTTCCAGGGGTCCTCTCGTGGTAACTCCGGAGGAAGGACAGGGTTGCCAGGCGACGAGAGAAGCGGCGTGACCACGTGGGCGGCCGCGGAGGAGCGCTGAAAGGAGGCGTCCTAGGCCGTGAAACCGGCTTCTCAGCTACAACCTGTCCCCAGGGAACTCGAAGAAACTGAAGGACAAGCAAAATGGACCTAACAGGAATCCCCTAAGGAGAGGACGCAGATATAGGAGGCCAGATAAGAAAGACTGCAAACTGAGGCCGCTCCATGGTGGAGGGTGAGTGAGAACCGCGGGTCTCCTTAGGTACTGGAGATTTTCCCTTTTTTTTTGACTGTATCAGAATATACTGAATTCGACACTTAATTCAGACAAGGAAATAGGGGATTCCTAGAGAGGGTCTGAAGGGTCTGAAGGTGTGGAAAAAGATGAGTTTTTTTTTTAAAGAAAAAAAAAATATCCCAAAAGGAACATGAAAGGCAAAAATATTAAAAAGGGAGTGGGCCCAAGAATTCCCAAACTGGCACGGTTAAGAAGTATACGTCGCAGGGTAATTTGACCCCAGAAAGATCTCAGGGAGTAAGTGAAAAGAATGAACTGGAAATAAGTTTGGATAATAGCCCGAGATTATCCCTGGGAACGGTTAATAATAGACAGCAATCAATGGAAGGAATGGAAACTGAAAAAGATCTACAAATTCCAAATAAAAAGGAAATGGCGGAGATGTTTAAAAATTTGGAAAAATCAATAAAGCAAGAGATGGGGACAATTTCGGAAAGAAATGGGGCAGTTGTTGACTAGAGTGGAAGAAACGGAGGAAAAGGTTAAAAATCATGCCCACCTCTTAGCTCACCAGCAGAAGTTGGCTTCCTATCTGTTTTTATCCGCCACTAGAACAATTGCTCAGGCCTGGAAGAGTCCGTTTGTCCCTCTTCAGGGGGTGCGGGATCGTATGACCACTATGATGCTCAACGAACAGATGTCGAGTATCCGCAACGACTCCCAACGTAAATTTTTGAAAATATGGGAGCCGTGGTTGCAATATGCCCTTCCCTCACTCCCCCCGGCTAGTCTGGGGATGTAATGGCGTTCGGTATTGGCGCTCTTGAATCCCTGCTCTTTGCCCCCACCCCCTTTTTTTTTTTTTTTTCCCTTTCTTTTCTTTCTCTCTTTTCTTTTTTCTCTCTCTCTCTGTTTTTGGTGTGACTGGGCAGCTGCATTTAGTTGTTATAACCAGTTACATTACTGTTTTGTAACTTATGTGCCATTGATAGCCCCTGCGTGGGCGTACCTTTTGCCCTGTTGGCATTAGAGCATTGTTTTTCCTTTTTTTTATTTTGCATATTGTTTATCTGTGCAATTAATAGCCCCTGCGTGGGCATGTTTTATTGCCTCTGTTTATACTGTTTAAAATTTAATAAAAACCATTGAAATAGAAAAAAAAAAAAAAAAAAATCATGCCCAAATAATTCCAAAATTAGAGAAATGGATAATAGACACCAGGAAAGAACAAAAAAGAGTGCTTTATATGATGGAGGATCAAGAAAATAGGGAAAAGAGAAACAATCTTAAAATAAGAGGAGTCCCAGAGCCGTTACAGGGGGAAGATTTAAAGGAGATAACTGGCAAAATTTTGAACTCTATAATGGATGGAGCTGGAGAGGAGATATTTAAACTGGATGAAGTGTTAAGGATTGGGAAGTCTCAACAAGAAAAAGGCTTTGAAAAATCAAGACATAATTGTTAAACTCCATAATTATAGAGACAAAGATACGATATGGAAAAAGATTAAAGGAAGAACAAATATCTCATATGGAGGGAAAAATATCGAAATATTTGCAGATCTAGCAGTTGGGACTTTGAGAAGAAAAAGGTCATTAAAACCTTTATTGGAATAGCTGAAAAAAATAATGTGCAATACAGATGGGGACGTGCAGCATGTCTAATCGGATGGAGCACAGCATTGTTAAGATTTCCTGAAGACATGAAAGATTTCTGCGATAAATTTGGACTGCAGAGACTGGAGTTACCGGGATGGGAAGTGCAGGAGGGAGAGTCATGTACTTTTGAGAAGGAGGAGTGGCAGCTAGTTAGAAGAGAAAATAGAGAGTTAGTAGATAAAAGGGACACCGGGGAGGAGGGGGGGGAAGGTGAGCGGTACATGGGCTGATGTAAAGTAAAAGATGAAAATACAGAGGAGACATTGCAAGGCACGCAGGGAATTCTAGAAGCTGTGGAGAGAGATAATTCGCAGGCAGAAATCAAACGTGAAAGGAGATTTTTTTTAGGCTTGAACTCTGAAAATTAGGATTTTTTTTCACTTACCTTAACATTTTTTTCTTGCAGTACAGTATGAGATATAGGCAGATTCAGAGACAACTAAATTATAAATCTTCAAGTAACTGGCTAGGGACAATAAAGCTGAAGACCCCCATATAACACATCATGCTCCCAGCAAACCTCAGTTATTTAGCAAGCAAAAAGATGGGAGGCCTGCATGAAAGAGAATATGGGATTTTTTACTTGCCTGAAAAATCAGTTTTTTTGGAGTACAGTTCATGGCACAGGCCATCACCTGTGCCTTGAACTGTACTCCAAAAACTGTTCTTTCAGGCAAGTCAAAAATCCCATTTTATTTTTCATACAGTTCAGATGCAGGCAGATTCAGATGCGAACCCACATAAATAAAAAAAAAAAAAGCAATTATATTTAATATATTATACACTGCTCAAAAAAAATTAAAGTAACACTTTGAAAACGCATCAGATCTCAATGGGGAAAAAAATTATGCTGGATATCTATACTGATATGGACTGGGTAATGTGTTATGAACATAAGGATGCCCCATCGTTTGATGGAAACGAAAATTATCAACCTACAGAGGACTGAATTCAAAGATACTCCAAAAATCAAATTGAAAAAATTATGAAGCAGGCTAGTCCATTTTGCTGAAATTTCATTGCAGCAACTCAAAATGGTACTCAGTAGTTTGTATGGCCCCCACGTGCTTGTATGCATGTCTGACAACATTGGGGCATGCTCCTGAAACGAAGAATAGTGTCCTGGGGTATTTCCTCCCAGATCTGTACCAGGGCTTCACTGAGCTCCTGGACAATCTGATGTGCAATCTGGCAGCATCGGATAGACCGAAACAGGATATCCCAGAGGTGTTCTATTGTATTTAGGTCAGGCGAGTGTGAGGACCATGCAATGGTATCAACTCCATCTTCCAGGAACTGCCTGCATACTCTCGCCACATGAGGCCTGGTATTGTCGTGCACCAGGAAGAACCCAGGACCCACTGCACCAGCATGGGGGTCTGACATGGGTCCAAGGATTTCATCCCAATACCGAATGGCAGTCAGAGTACCATTGTCTAGCCCAGCAATGGGCAAACTACGGCCCGGCGGACCTTTTAATCCGGCCCACGGAGCTAGGCTCCCGCTAAGGCTCCTCTCACAGTCCGCCCTGAAGACCTCTCGCTGTGTTCCCGCGCCGTTCCGGTGTAGTATGAAAATCTGTCTCCTATGAGGATCTGTCCCCCTCGACGTATCTGCGCATGTGCCGGAGATCGCCGATCGGCTGCTAATGCCTGAAACTGGCACATGCGCAGATACGTCGAGGGGGACAGATCCTCATAGGAGACAGATTTTCATGCTACACCGGAACGGCGCGGGAACACGGCGAGAGGAACGCGCGGAGCAAAGGTAAGTGAATTGACACAGGGGGGACTTGGGGACTTAATATGGGGGATGAATTAATATGGGGAATGAATTACTATAGGGGGGATGAATTACTATAGGGGGGATGAATTACTATAGGGGGATGAATTACTATATGGCGGGGGATGAATTACACTATGGGGGATGAATTACTATATGGGGGATGAATTACTATGGGGGATGAATTACTATATGTGGGATGAATTACTATATGGGGGATGAATTACTATATGGGGGATGAATTACTATATGGGGGATTAATTACTATGCTTACTATGGGGGAATATTACTATACTTACTATGGATGACACATACACATCATTCATCTACTCTTGGTCCGGCCCCCGGGTCTAATATATGAACCCATTGCGGCCCTCAAGTCAAAAAGTTTGCCCACCCCTGGTCTAGCCTGTAGAGGTCTGTGTCTCCCTCCATAGATACGCCTCCCCAGACCATCACTGACCCACCACCAAAACGGCCATGCTGAACGATGTTACAGACAGCATAATGTTCTCCATGGCTTCTACAGACCCTTTCACTTCAGTCACATGTTCTCAGAGTGAACCTGCTCTCAACTGTGAAAAGCACAGGATGCCAGTGAGGACCTGACAATTCTGGTGTTCAATGGCAAATGCCAATTGAACTCCATAGAGCCGGGCAGTGAGTACAGGGCCCACAGGCCACCCTCATGAAGTCTGTTTCTAATTGTTTGGTTAGAGATATACACACCAGCGGCCTGCTGGAGGTCATTTTGTAGGGCTCTGGAAGTGCTCATTCTGTTCCTCCTTGCACAAAGGAGCAGATATCGGTCCTGCTGATGGGTCAAGGACCTTCTAAGGTCCTGTCCAGCAATCCTAGAGTAACTGCCTGTCTCCTGGAATCTCCTCCATGTGGCAAGGGAGCGCAAAATCATACACACACACGTGATTTTGCCCTACCCACGCCGCAATCAATCACCGGGTCCCGGCCGGTGATTGCTTGCCGGCGCACAGTGACTACTGAAGATCTGCAATGGGGAGGAGAACGGTTTTGTTTACTACCAGTTCTCCTCCCTGTCAGCTTGGCCACATTGCTTTGGATGGCTGTGCACAGCACAGCCATCCAAAGCAGTGTGCTTACAGTGAGGTACACAGACACTGCTCCCTAGTAAAACACTCCCTGCACACAATTAACCCTTTGATCGCCCCTCATGTTAGCCCCTTTATGCCCAGTGCCATTAGTACAGTATCAGTGCTTTTTTTTTTTTTCAGCACTGATCACTGTTACTGGTGTCACTGGGGATGTAAGTGGCACCAAGTCAGTTCTCCACAGTGTCAGAATGTCGGCAACAGTCCCGCTATTAGTCGCTGATCGACGCCATTACTAGTATAAAAAAAAATTTTTTTTATTAAAAATCCCAGTATACATACCACCATTTGTAAATGCTGTAACTTTCACGTAAACCAATTAATTTACATGTATTGGGATTTTTTGCTAGCAAAGACATGTAGCAGAATAAATTTTGGCCTAAATTTATGGCAAAATTTAATTTTTTTTACTGGACATGTTTAATAGCAAAAAGGCAAAAATATTGTTTTTTTCTCAAAATTGTCAGTCTTTTTTTTTTTTAACACGCAAAAAATAAAAACACACAGGCGATCAAATACCACCAAAAGAAAACACAATTCGTGGGAAAAAAAATTAATAAATTTCATTTAGGTGCAGCCTTGCATGACCGTGCAATTGACAGTTAAAGTAACGCAGCTCCGTAAAGCAAAAAATGGCCTGGTCAGGAAGGGGGTAAATCCTCAGGAGGGCAAGTGGTTAATTGACTTGATGCTATACTCTGATTAAAAAGTGTCCCTTTAATTTTTTTGAGCAGTGTATATATTTTTTTAATTATTAGCAAACAGCAGCTTACAACCAAAAGGCAGCATCAGCCTGAACAGTCATCCAGTCAAACTTAAAGAGGTGGTAAACGCCGCTTGATGATTTGTACCTACAGGTAAGCTTATAATAAATAGTAATAATAATAATGTAGGTAAAAGTAATATCTCCTAAACATGCACCGTTTAAGAGAAATTCACTATTTCTGCAGCTGGTGACTGTTCTGGTGCATGCGCATTGTGCACTGTGCTGAGATTGTGGCTCCTGTGCACGTGTGGAAGTGACGTCATTGTGGCTTGGCCATTCAAATGCCTGGAGCCCACCGAGCTGGAAAAAAGACCAGTTGAAAATAGAAGCCTCATCAGCGGTGGCAGTGCGCTGCGGGAGAGCTTCATTTTAAGGCAAATCTTTCATAATGTGCTTGTATGGAATGCACACTAGCACATTATGCCCTTATCTTGCAGGGGGAAGGTTTTTGTTTTTTTTTTGGACTTCGCTACTGCTTTAAGCTGGCTATACACGTATTTGGCCCGTCACCACTGAACTGACCAAATTTTGTTCCATCTATGACCAGTTTTAGAGTGCATGGAAGGCTAGGTGGCAGTCTTGCAAGACCCCTGATATTTCACCAAATCCCTTTAACAAGGCAGTTTAATTAAAAAAAACAAAAAAAAAACATTTCTATAAAATAATTAAAAATAAAATTAAGGACTCTTACTTGTGCTTTGCTATCTGAAGAGCAATCAGCATTTAGATTGCTCTTCAGAGAGCCCTTATCAAAAAGCAAGGAGACATATTGCCTCATCACTTCCTGCTGTAACTCCACAATAGCACACCACAACTGTGTACTTTGCAGAGCAGCACTATTCATTGAACAGGTCTTGCTTGATTGGTATATTATTTCTGTCATTTCTTGCGAAACTTAAAGGGGTAGCTGTTGGTGGGTGGTAAAAGAGCAGCTCAAACATGGGGTTTTTACTGCTCCCCAACTTCACGTGTGAAAGAGTCCTAGGTGCTCTGGCTGTGTGAATAAGTGAAGAGGTCACAGTGGATGTACAAAAACAACCACAGGCCCTAAACTGACAGGTGTGCAGGTATAGGCGAGTGACCCTGAATGAACACTGTCTTTGTTCAGGGCCATACACCTGCACCCACATGCCTGTCAAATTAGGACCTGTGGCTGTGTTGATATAGCTGCGTTCCCCATAGAGTAACATGGGCGGCCAATACCATATTCATAAACAAAGCTTTAGCAGGAATTTTGTTGCATTTGTGCCTACTAATGATTTTAGTGTACTTTTACAGTGGAAGTGGGAATTTGGAGACCCGCTGCTCCCCAAAGGTGCCAATCCTTAACGGGGGACAAAGCCTTAAAGCGGAACTTCCCCTTTTGGGTGGAGCTAAGCTTTTTGAGGTCTTGTGTACACAAAAGTTCACTTTAAACTATTTTTGGCAGATGAATTTAAGGGAAAAAAAAAAAAAAAAAAGTATAAATCAACAAAGCTTTATGAAGACATGGCAACAAAGAGATATCACTAATTTTTAGGAAAAGCAGGCTGCAGGATTTTTATCATGCAGTTCACGAGAGGATGTACCACATTTTGTAAATCTGAAGCTATACCGAAAAATTACACAAAAACAGTGTAATTAACCAATACCTTAATATCTTTGCTGTGGAAATGTTTGAAGAGTGGGTCAATTGGCTCAGGTATGCTTTTCTTCTGTCTAATCACATCTAGCAGTGGCAATACTTTCTTCCAGTAGTGGATACATCGGACCATATAATCCCTCTGATCATAGAAGGAATTCAAACTGTTCCCCTGCAGTAACAGAAACAAGTTATGTTGTGCAATGCAACTCGTTTTATTGGTTCAAATATTATATGCAGTTATTCAAAGCATACACTTACAGTAGTGCTGAGACTCCTTGACCAATGTATGAGAAGGGCAGGCTGCAAACCATGCTTTTCCAACGCTCGCAGTGTATTAAGCTCATGCTGAATCACAAGCCGAAGTTTAGCTGAAGATCCAGCCCTGGATATAGAAATGTAATTTAGAAAGGTTTACGGTGACACTAAATGATATGCTTATTTATAAAAATACTTCATACACATTATCCATTACTTAACGGCCCTGTTATCTATTTTAATGAAAATGTTTTTTTACTGTGTGTTTTTCTGCCTCCTTGTAAAGTTTTTCATTAGCTCCTGACCCCCCCCCCCCCCTTCTTCCATTTTTTTTTTTTGAACAAGCAGTGGAAATTCGTTGCAGTCGTGTGCACTCTAAAAACCCCAGTCTATAGTCCATCTTGGGAGCAAGCAAGCAGGTGGCTACATTTGTACAGACAGTGGTGCCATGGAGAACAAAAGCAGTCACCCTCTAACGAGACGTCTAATAAAGAAAAAAAAAAAAAAAGAATTTGGAGATTTGGAGGAGCAGAAAGCAACAGAAGCTAGTTTTTTGTGCGAGTTAAAAAAACATACATGCTTTAATAGGATTTTGTTAAACTAGGGTTTAGCGTCACTTTAACCAGTTCATCGCGAACGTCAGAGGGAGAGCAATAATTTAAGTTCAAGACTTCCTATGTAACCCTAAACTGGTAATCTGTAAAGGCTTTAAAGCGTCGCCCATGGAGATTTTGAAATACTGTAGTTCGGTGCCATTCCAAGGGCATACGCAATATAAAAGACATGTTAGGCATCTGTTTGTGGCGTAACATTATCTTCGGAGATTCCAAGTAATTTTCTAGCAAAAAAATACTGATTTTTATATGTAGGAGAGAAATTTCAGAATTGGCCCGGTGGAGCACAGGTTAATATAGAAGAAAGTTTGCAACAAAGACAGTACAAAAAACATACACACACGTAACTCACTGGGCTGTTTTATGAATAAGGCTGTAGACCGCATCCCACCATGATCCCTGTTTGTCTGTAAAAAGCTGCTTGCAGATCGGCATAGGTAAGCAACGAGGCTGATAGCAGTCATTTGATGAATAATTATTTTGCAACTGAAGGTGGCTTGTGTAGATAACTGCTAGTAAAAATACCTAAAAGCAAAGAAAAACTGTTAGCAGTTTTCTATGGTTTAACGGGTCAAAGTTTCATTCCTCAATGAGTAACATATCCAAATAATATCTGGCCTGGCTATAGAAGAATGACTTTACTTTGGGCTCCCCAACAGCTGACATTTCCACTACAGAACCATTTACATGTTTTATTCCAACTCTGAATACATAAACATAGCATGTAAAGACTCTTAGAAGCATCTACATGGGCATTTTAGACACCTAAATAGGTATATTTATATATGTAGCTTCATATAGCCATGGTAAAAACAAAAAAAACAAACAAACCAGTATTTCCTCAACATCAGGATTTTAAGCAAAAGAGTCTTGAGCATTACCAAAAGGTAAACACATCACGACATGTGCATGCAAACAAGCTTACACTGCATTGTTCTGCACTTAAAGCAGAACTACACTGCATCTGATAACCACAAATCCAAAAACACTATATAATTCATTCTTAATATTCAAAGCAAACTTTCCAGTCCATCCATGTCTCCATGCTTTATTTTGTCAAGAAATCACTACGAAAAACACCCCCTAGTATTTCTAGCTGTGGCCATCTTAAGTAAGGGTAGATGATTCATGCAGCATTTACTTCCTGGAACCAGTCTGCCCTTAGCTCAGGCATGCAGGCAGGAGGGTGTGCTTGGCTAAGAAAATACCCCCTCCCCTGAAGACTCCTGGGATGCATGACATCATTTGCCTACGCCTGGAAACCAGTAGGTAATTGAAGAAATATAAAAAAAAAAAAAAAGTTTAGGTGAATGATATACTTTATTTACTAATGCTAGCAGCATAAGGATTAAAAATAGTCAATGTTCATTGAGAGAGTGAAGTTTTGCTTTAAAATAAAGGACTAACTGATTATACACAGTGTTGTGCCAGTTTAATTTCCTTCCTCCTGCCTTCCTCTTCTCATGTGGCTGTTCTGCCTTAAAAGGATAAGTTCACCATTTGGCCAAAAATAATAAATGCACATTTTTTTGCAGGTATAAAAATGTGCATTTATTATTTTTGTCTACAGGAGCCTGGAAAGCATTGCACCAGTGATCAGTAGATCGCTGTCGCTGATGCCATGCATTTCTCCTGCAGACCTGTCAGAATATCTGCTTGTCGTATGGGATGTACAGCCAAGCAGATATTCTGACAGGAAGCTTGAATGAACTACCACGGAGCTCCACAGTGCTGTGGTAGTTCACTGAAAACTACAAGCCTACAGCCACTAAGGCTGTTGGGACTTGCAGTTCATTCATTCACGGAAGTCCATGTCAAATCTGACAGATAGTATATGTCAGAGGGAGGGGGGGCGGCGGCGGGTGCAGATGCAGCTAAGGGAATATGTTACATGTTCCACCCTAAAAACGGTTCATGTTCTCAAAGGGGAACTTATCCTTTATCGTAAACTTTTTCTGAGAGACATGGGGGCTGCAGTTATCAGTTTTCTTCCTTCTAACTAGGTTTAAAAGCAGAGGAAGGGCCTAAGCTCTTTTAGAACTACATCTGTTGGTCACAAATCCTGCACCCCTGAAACCCATATTCAGCCAACAGCGGGCTTTGCCTGACCAGCAGCTAGCTCAGCCTGTCAGCACGCTGTTGAAAACCTGAGCCAGCCACTCCCGCTCCTCCCTAGCCCAGGACACCGGTGAGCACTAGAGGGGCAGATCAAAGAGCTGGTGACTAGCAGTGGCAATCAGCGGTCTTTAATCACTCAGTTTTAAGTCTTAGAAGAGTCAGGGGACTGACGCTGCATTCACCTAGGGCAGTATGATGGGTTTATTTTTTTATTCTTTAAATCCCATAATTCTCTTTTAAGGACCACTAACATAGAGCTACTATGCTTGTCATGAATTGTGTAACTTCCTAACCTGCATGCTTGTTTCTAGTAAAAGACACAAAGTATTGAAGCCATAGACCGTAAGGAGGACAGTAGCAGTAATAGAAGCCGTTGTCTCTCTGAAAAACCTCTCTTTAAAAATCTTTATCAAACACAGATTGATCAAATCTGAAATCAATTAGCATTCAAAAACAGGAAACATACCTCCAGATCAAGAATACATATAGATTCTGGATTGTTGGATTCAAGCTTTGAAGTTTCCTGAGGTACCCGAGGGAAAAGCTGCTTAAGCCACTTACGAAGGTTTGGCAGTGAAAACATGAAGTGCCACTGCAGACCAAGCCAGGTTAAGTGCTGCAATTCTCCATTGTGCATACGAATGGCACCTAGAAAAAAAAAAAAAAAAAGTCAACATTTACATTTCAAGGAATAGCAACTGAATTCCAGAGATGTGTAATGCATTTCTCAATTTTATTTAAAGTGGTTCTAAAGACTCAAGTTTTTTTTTTTTTTTTTACCTTCATGCATTTGCATCTTAGGTAAAAAGGACAGATGAGGCAGAAACAGAAGCTTGTCATGCTGGAGCAGGAAACCGGAAAAAAGCAGCCAATTCTGAAACTTTGCAAGTTGAAGTTATGGCAATTAGCAAAATAACCGTCCAACTCATAAAGACTAAAGGAATATCCCAGATGAGTTCAAATGGAGGTTTCTCCAATACAGAAATTATGAAGTTGAGAACCCACGGAGTCTTATCCGGTGGATGTATATGGTGGATAGGTGGATATAATGTGTTTTATACCTTGCACAAAGGGTTGCACCAAAAAGAGCATGAGGTAATCTATTTCTGAAAAAAAAAGCCACCAAGGCTGAAATTTGACCTCTGATCATACATAAGGCCAGTCACAAATCAATACCAGACTGGATAAATGCTAGGATGCAGCCAACAACATACTGAAAACCCTGAGTCTGACTTGTAAGTCAATAAGACTTGCAAGTGAATTTGTAAATCTTCTTGGAAGATTCCTTCCTAGTCTTCAGCAGGGTAAAAATGACCGAATCAGGAGACTCCCCTGTACTTTAGGACCCTGGCTTCATCAACCATGCTATAAAAGCCAGTGACTCTATACAAGGATGGAAAATCAGACCTTGCGACAGTAGGTTGGGTTGTTCCAGAAGGATTGACAAGTTCACAATTTCAGAGTATCAAGGTCTCCTGGTCAAAGCCACAGCAATCAGAATCGCCAGAATTCCTTCTACTTGAATCCTGGGAAGCAGATGAGGTAGAAGCCTTAATGACAGTAAGGTATATATTAGGGAGAACCAGTTCCACAGTGTCACTAGAACATCCACTGCAAATGCTTGAGCATCTCTGATTCTGGAGACAAACCTGCCCACCTTGACACTGAACCTGTATGCCAAAGAATCCACATCTGGTGTTCACCACCAGCGGCATGGTGCCTTAAATACCTCTAGGTGAAGAGCCCACTACTCTGAAGACAGTTAACTGCTGAAGAAGAAACTCGTCGTCAATTTCTCACGCTTGGGATCGGGAACAACATGAGAACATGGAGCTCCATTAAAGATGGATGAGATCTACCTCTGGGACGCCAGACTTCTGGATCCACCTTGATTTATGTACACCACAGCTGTGGCATTGCCAAAATTAACCCTTATAGGGAAGCCCTTTAGCTGACCAATGTACCAGGGCAGGTGATTTACCCTCAAAGGTAAGATTGTTGATAAGCAACCTGTTCCCTGGACTGAAAGGCCAAGTTCCCTGGACTGAAAGACAGTTCAAAACTCGACCCCAGTCCACAAAGCAGGCATCCATCATAAAGACCAACCATGCTAGAGTGAGAAACAATTTTCCTATTTCCAGGATTTATGGGGAGATCCACCAGTACAGAGATTATCTCACGCTGGGGAGTAAAAGCATCTGGGAATCAAAGACTGCATCCTCTTGTCTCATGCCACCAAGATATTTCATTGAAACAGCCTGGAATGAACCTGTGCAAACGGTACCACCATAAAGGAGGCAACCATATTTCAGGTTTGAAGCAACGAGCATTGATGCAACAGAAGCAAGTTGTCCAGATATCCAATAAATGGAGACACCCAGGTACACAAGAGCCACAGAACCAGAGCCAGGACCTTGGTGAATACTCTAGCAGCAGTAGACAGGCCAAAAAGCAGGGGCAGAATCTGGAAGTGGTGGTCCTCATCCACAAACAACAGAAACCTTTAATATGGAAAGATAATAACTGATGCCAAGAAATCTCCCTGTTGGAGAGAGGCCACCACAGATGGCACAGATGCATTTGAAACTTCTGCACCTGTAGAAACTTGACTCTTGAGGTTCAAGATAGGATGAACATCACCATTCAGTTTTGAAAATGTGAAGAGGTTTGAGCAGAGACCATGAAACCTTTCACCTCTTTGAGGTAACAACTCCTTAAGACAATTGATCAAACGCTTGCAAAGGAGATTCAAAGAAAAATTTAAAAATATGAAGTGCAGAGGGGGAAGGCTCTGAAATTCCAGCTTGTAGCCACACGTCACTACGCTGTGCACTATCTTCTGTTGCCACAGCTCCACGGATGGCTGTAAACATCCCCCCACCTGATCGAGTGTGAAGAGAACTTGTTCCTTGGCTTAGAGGAATTTGAAGTCCATGGCTTCTTGTATAACTAGGACTGGCTTTTTGGGCTTGGAGCCTGAGGCCTGAGATTGGCAAAAAGAACACTTTCTGAAAGGAGGAGCAGTCGGTTTTTGAACCATAGGCTTTTCCTTCCTTTTCAGCGACAACAGAGTCTTCTTACGCAGTCACCATTTGGATGTAATCATCCAAACACTCCAGGTTTTGGCTCTATTCAGTCTCTTCCTCTCTCTCGTCATGAATGAAGCCCAGTCAGATACATGTCAAAAGCTGAAATTGCTGATTCCCACCAGCACAAAAATGAGGCCTTGAATAAAGCCTCCAGATGTTTGTCCAAGGCATCCCTAAATGGAGAGGACCATTTCCACTGGAATCCACCAAAGGCATACTAAATTTCATAGTAAACACATTCCCAATGGAGGACTGCTGAGTGAACCTTTTCGTCAGAATGAGCATCTTGTCAGGATGAGTCTAGTAAGAATACAAAACATCCTTTAAAAGGAGGATATACAGGGAAGGTTTGAGATTGTGGCAGACACACAATCCAAATCCTGTAACCTTTGGAGTGGAGAACTCGGAAAGAGGCAGCTTCAAACTGGTCCGAATAACAACTTATGCAAGAAAACAGGCAAAGGCCTTTGGGTCTTAGGTAAACCCTGACCCTGGGATTCCTTCAGGAGTCGAATCCTCTGATGAGAGTTTTGCTGTGCCTCCATCTACCAGTGCATTCTGGTCTTCTTAAAACTCACCCTCAACTAAATCATCTGCCGTTAATGTGGAGGGAGGGGAGGGGGAATGCTTCCACTTGGAACCAAGGCGGTCCAACCCAGAAAGCATTGCAGAAAGCTGGTGCTGTAAACCAGCTATGGCAGATGGGGATTCCTCCTTTGACACAAAAATACTGGAGAAAGGTGTCCCTAAAGTACTGGAAGTACCAGATAGGTGGAGAGTGTCTGATCCACAAAGAACACTATGACCACCAGGGAATACGCTGTATGGGGGAGCTGCATCCAAGTTCCTCCATACCTGAGAAAGGTATTCATGACAGCTCACTCATACATCCTCTCTGTGCCGGTGAGACATAGCTTGCTGGCAGTGTAAGGGACACTGACTAAACACCAGAGAGCTGGTTTCCCTAGGAGATTAGACCCCTTTAAATCTGCCAGTGCCCCAGTACAACAATAAAGAAATGTTGCGTGGTCCCTATTTAAACTTGCTGCAAACAGTCCCAAAAGCAACACTCTGCTGCAACCTGCAGTCCCAGAGAATGTTTTAGTGCTATTGCCAAATTCATACAGGGACCTAACTTTGAATCTAGAAGTAGAAAGCAATAGTGAAAAGGCCGAAGTTTCACCTCTGCTACATCTGCTAATTTGTCAACTGAATAAGCTGCCCATTAGCTCTCAAGTTTAGTCTGATTAACCGCTTCCTGACGATCACCTCCTGGCCCTTTAAACATTCTAAAAGCAAGGAGGGCATTTGGGTAACGTGACCACTGATCAGCTGTCATACGATTGGAAAGCTCCCAAATGCAAGTATCTATCGGGAGCTTACCGATCACCGCCAGCTACTGCGCAGGGAGTGCACTCTCATAACAGTAAGAGGTTTACACAGGGCTGCATATATGAGATGATGGAAAAGTTTAAAAGGATAACATTACCTTTCATAACATGTTACACCCATATTCAGGGTGTAACATGTTATGAAACCACCGCCCCGCCTCCTCCCGCACCCCCCGCTTGGACAGCTAGTGAGGGATCCTCTCTCCCCCGTTAACTGTCAAAATTTTAAAAAGATGCAGCCATGTAGGCACCACCCACCTGGCCACGTCTCTCATTCACAGTCCTCTGTGAATGAGAAACTACAAGTCCCAACAGCCTTAGACAGATTAGAGTCCTCAATGAACTACCATAGCGCTGTGGAGCGCCATGGTAGTTCATTGAATCTTTCCGTCAGTGTATCTGCTTGCCTGTACATTCTGACAGATCTGCAGGAGACCTGCAAGAGATCAGTAGATCGCTGGTGCAATGCATTACAGGCTCCTGCAACAAAAAAAATAATAATAAATACACATTTACCTGCCGTTTTGTGGCTCTATTCAAACAGAATACAATTGATCCAACAGTCATAATTGTATTCTGAATGGACAGACAGAAAAAGCCATTTAGTCCACTTGCACACAGCTGTTTAGCATTTTAATATACCCAGGAGGGAAAGGTATAGCGTTCAGCACCACTATGGCAGTCTGTTTATGGCAGGCTGCGCCTGGATGAGTCTGAACACTGTACCGAGTGGTACCCGTGTTTAGAGCCCAATGAACTTCGGAATGATCCCAGACAACCACTCGGTACAGCATTCAGCCCTATTCAACCACAGCCTGCCATAGACTAGCAGGCTGCAGCAGCAGGATTGGATGCTGCATCTGTCTCTCTTGCGGTTTCTGTAACACCAGGAGGGATGCACTGCAGCTCGACAGCCCCATCTGCATGGGGCCCCAATTTGACTATCCCCTTAAGAGTGGAAATATGTTATGAAACCTTACCATGGTCATATCGATGTAGTTCGTTCAGATCTGGGATCTGACAGCTTATGTTGCTTATGTCATCTGTACCCAGAAAAGATGCATCCATTGACAGATCATTTTCAAACAACATTTGCAGCAAACTACTTTGACCTTTTACGTTCGCAAAAGTCTCGATGACATCTTTGAGAAAATTGTCCTTGCCGTGGCTTAGACTCAAGAGCAAGTGTCCTGTTGAAGTAAAATATAAGAAAGTTGTTGTGACTATACGGTCTTAAATATGTTAGCAATTTACAAGTTCCCAAATAAGATAAATGACAAAAGTTTGAAACAAAGTGTTCTAAACTACATAATATATATAGCTTACAGAAAAGTCAATTGAGTTCCACAGCTGGAATACTTGCATTTTTTCTGAGCACCATGATGTGTGGTAAAAGGTGTGGGGGGGGGCAAGATGTGTGCATAAGTGCTGAGGAAAATCAATCATTAAATCTGTGTATACCCAGATCACTTCCATCACTGCAACTTATCCCCAAAAAGCACACATAGCTACAGCAGCCTCTCTCAACCAGGGTGCCTTGGCAAAATATCTAGAAAATTGCCCAAAATTTGTATAAAAGCCAGCGATGGAAAAAGCCTGCCTTATAGTTACACAAAGCCACAGGTTTTCATTATGCACCATTACAACCTTCTAGTGTCAGCATCCTGACAACTAATGACATCATTTGAGAAGGAGGATGTCAGCTGCCTGCACAGCATCCTAGTTTGACCCTCCCCTGCCCTTCTCCATCAGTGCTGGGGTCACATAGCTTTTCACATTTTAGAATGCGGTGCTCTATTAAAATTATGGACAGTTTGGAGGCACCCCATTTTAGAAAGAAAAATAAAAGGAGCCAAGCAAAGACATGTTACCAAAAATCTATCTAGATTACCTGATTGGCTTTGTCGATCACACGCCAGACCTTCAAGAATATTTTGTGAATTCTCATCTCTTTTAACTTGTTTATTCCATGGCACCTAAAAACATATGCTTTAAAAAGTAAATATGCTTATCCGAAAGCAGAGCAGAGGTATCAGACGCAATTATCTTCCTGAGGTCTTACATTGTGGCAAAAATAATATAAGGCATCTGGTGGATTGGAAGATGGGATTTTTGGTTTACCAGTAAAATGCTTTTCTTGAAGTACACTGCTCAAAAAAATTAAAATACTTTCAAACCACATCAGATCTCAATGGGGAAAAATATCATGCTGGATATCTACACTGATATGGACTGGGTAATGTGTTAGGAACGTAAGGATGTCCCATCGTTTGATGGAAATAAAAATTATCAACCTACAGAGGACTGAATTCAAAGACACCCCGAAAATCAAAATGAAAAAATGATGCAGTAGGCTAGTCCGTTTTGCTGAAATTTCAATGCAGCAACTCAGAATGGCACACAGTAATTTCTATGGACCCCACATGCTTGTAGGCATGCCTGACAACATCAGGCATGCTCCTAATGAGACGACGGATAGTGTCCTGGGGAACTTCCTCCCAGCTCTGAACCAGGGCATCACTGTGCTCCTGCAGTCTGAGGTGCAACCTGACGGCGTCTGATGGACTGAAACATGATATCCCAGAGGTGTCCAACTGCATTTAGGTAGGCGAGTGTGGTGGTCATTCAATGGTATCAATTCCTTCAAGCTCCAGGAACTGCCTGGATACTCTCACCAAATGAGGCCGGGCATTATCGCGCACTAGGAGGAAGCCAGGATGCACTGCACTATAGCATAGGGACAATGGGTCCAGGGGTTTCATCCCGATATCTAATGGCAGTCAGGGTGCCATTGTCTAGCCTGTAGAGATCTGTGCGTTACTCCATGCACATGCCTCCACAGACCATCACTGACATCATCAAAACAGTCATGCTGAACGATGTTACAGGCAACATGACGTTCTCCATGGCCTTTCCAGACCCTTTCACGTCTGACGTGCTCAGAGTGAACCTGCTCTCATCTGTGAAAATCACAGGGCACCAGTGATGGACCTGCCAATTCTGGTGTTCAATGGCAAATGCCAATCAAGCTCTATGGTGCCAGGCAGTGAGCACAGGGCCCACTAGAGGATGTTGGGCTTTTAGGCCACCCTCATGAAGTCTGTTTCTGATTGCTTGTTCAGACATTCACACTAGTGGCCTTCTGCAGGTCATTTTGTAGGGCTCTGGCAGTGCTCATCCAGGAGAGCTGGACAGGGTCATAACTGCCTGTCTCCTGGAATCTCCTCCATGCTCTTGAGACTGTGCTGGGAGACACAGCAAACCTCCTGGCAATGGCACGTATTGATGTACCATCCTAGAGGAGTTGGCGTGCCTGTGCAACCTCTGTAGGGTCCAGGTATCGCCTCATGCTACCAGTAGTGACACTGACCCTAGCCAAATGAAAAAAACTAGTGAAAACCAGTCAGAAAACATGAGCAGGGAAAAAAATATCAGTGGCCTCCACCTGTAAAACCATTCCTGTTTTGGGGGTCTCATTGTTGCCAATATAGTGCACCTGTTAATTTCATTACCACCACAAAGCAGCTGAAACTGATTAACAACCCCCCTGCTACTTAACTGACCAGATCAAATTTCCCAGGAGTTTGATTTGATGCTATACTCTGATTAAAAAATGTTCCTTTCATTTTTTTTGAGCAGTGTATATCACACAGGGCATCTTCATATCCATTTAGGATAGGGTTATGCTGCCATCTTAAAGTGACTGGCAGGATTTCCAGCTTAGGCTCAATTTTGTAGCAAAGAGCAGCAAAAGAACAGGGGTGTTATCACGGTGTCCTGTGATGTATTCCAAAAAAAGGATTTTAAAGCATTTATACACAACTCATACTGGTTTGCCTAGAAGAACCTTTTGAAAATGAAGACAACTAAAATTACATAAGCAAAATAATGCTCATGTAATTGTCCATGTTATTCTTCCGCCATTTACATAATTTTATTAAACTGGGGAGAATTGGTCCCATGGTATCACCAAGGCATCTATCACAGATGTTCAAGGGTCTCTAATACTTGACACAAATCTGCCTAGTTTGGTACAGAACCTAGATGCTAGGAGATCCACATCAGTTGCCCCCCACCTCAGGCAGAGTGCCTTGGAACATTTGAGTGAACGTTCCATTCCCATAGATTCAGCCATTGATGGCTGAGGAAATAAACCTGTTAGTTTTCCATGCTGGAAAATGAATAGCCTGAACAGCAGGGCTACAAACTGATGGTGCTAATCCTCCAACACAAACCACTGAACAATTTGGCAAGGCTGTGACCTTCAGAGACACAATTACCCTCAGCTGGGGATCCCTACCCTGGACCTGTAGGGCACAGCTGCAGACTACCAGGCAATATATACAGTAATTACAGTCCTGTTGCACAGGATCCAGCGCCAAACGGCAATATTAAAGGCTGTACCCAAGCATCGATTGCAAGGTCCTTGTACTATTCCCTTATGGCCATAAGCTGTAGGACAGATGTGGATAAAGCCACTCTCCTGTTTCCAACAAGAAATTGAGAGAGAAAAAACCCCAAAAAAAAACTAGACAAAAGGTAGTTGTGCAGAGACTGCACAGACACAACCATCACCTAAGGACACTAGCAAAAAAACAAAAAAAAAAAAAACAACGGAGGATGTGCTGAGCTAGGAGGATTACACCTGGGATGGGGATCATGCCTTGTGTGTCTATTCACCTGAAGGTGGCAACATAACCATATCACAAAAAATAAGATGCTCTGTGTCCTGTGATACGCAATAAAGAAAAATTGGTGAATAGTGTTTTTTTATGTTGTGATTATATATTGTTACAGGTACTTTTATAGCACCGTCAATTTACACAGCACATTACCAAGTCACAACAGTCCTTCTCCTCAAGGAGCTTACAATCTAAGGTCCCTAACTTATATTCAAACACATACAAGGGTCAATTTAGAAAGGAGCAAATGACCTACTAACATGCACATATAGTTGCAATGTTTAATATTAAATACCTGGAAAGCAAGAAGATAACAGAGTGCAGCTGGTTCTAATGATGCCTTCCACTGAACTTCATTGTGCTGAGCCATTTTCAGTAACTGAGTTCCAGTATGCATGTAGTAGTGACCTCGTATTTCAGCGAATGTAACTGACAAGTCGTCTGTGCCATCTGCATGGGGCTTCAGTGACCAGAGTGCTTGATCAAAACTGATAGAGAACAACATTTTATAAAACTTTTCATGGTCTTGTGTATCCAGTTCACTGCACAAATGCTAGAATTCAATGGGGTTTGAGTCAACCTTTAACCATTTCAGCCTCTGTGACACAGAACGGCTGTGCCCAATCACACACAGAGTTGTGTGTGTGATAACTAAACACAGAACTCTGTGTACAGGGAACAGCGGTCTGGCCATTTGTTCTCCTTGCTAAACAGCCATACAGTAAAGTCAAAGCAGCACATATAAACACAACACATAGTTGGGCACACAGTCAACCCTTTGATAACCCCTATAACCCCTTCCCAGCCAGTGGTACAGTGACTTTGTACAGTATTAGCACTGATCAGTCAATGTCAGCTGTTCAGTTATTGTACCTCCCAGCCAGCATCAGCTAGAGCCAGACTGCCTGCTACACTATCACATTCCCACTATAAGCTGCTGATCACTGCCATTACTAGTACAGCGTCATAGCTGCGTAAATTTCAGTATATATACACACTCACCATAGTTTGTAGATGCCGTATCGCAAACCAATATATATACATAGAGATTTTATTTATATTTGAATTTATTAGCAAAGACACGTAGCAGATTACATTTTGATCTAAACAATTATAAAAAATCTTTTTTTTTATTGAACATGTTTTATAACAAAGTTGAATTTTTTTTTTTTTTTTTTTTTTAAAGTTCAACTTTTGTTTATATTGCAAAAAATAAAAAACCCAGTGTTGATCAAACACCAAAGGAAAGCTCTATTTGTGTGAAAAAAAACTTAAATTTTATTTGCATACAGTGTTGCATGACCTCGCAATTGCCAATTAAAGTAGTGCAGTGCTGAATAGCATTTTTTTTTTTTTTAAATGCTTTGTCAAGAAAAAGGTAAAACCTTCCAGAGCTCAAGTGGTTCATGTAAAAGCGATTCTAGTGACTAAATTAGCGGCTGGATTTCTTTTACAGGCTGCTAAGGGGGTCTCCCCTGTCTCCCCCAGCTCTTCCGTCTAACCGGGTAACCCGGGACAGAAGCCAGCAGTTCTGCTGGTTTGCCATAGAGATGATCGAGGACTGGAATGTCCCCAATAATCTCTATGGTCTAAGAAACCAGAAGCAACAAGTATTTTGTCACTTCCGGTTTTGCCAGGATGAAAACAAGCCATTACGGACTTGTAAAAGCATCTGATCAAACCGATCTTGGTTTGATCAGATGCTTTTAAAGGACAGAGGAGATATCTGGGGTCTAATAGACCCCTGATAACTCAGTAAAGAGAACCTGTCACTGTCTATGTTATCACAAGGGATGTTGTTCATCCCATGTTAGCAATTGAAGGGATTTAAAAAAAAAAAAAAAATTAAAGATACAGCATTAAAATAAAATTTAAAAATGTTTTTAAAATTTTGCATTTATTTAAGCACCCCCTTCTCACCACACTCAACCGCAAAGGCAAACGCATGCATCAGTCCTGCATGCACATGTAGACTGCGATCGCACCACACGTGAGATATCACTGCAAATGTCAGATTTAGTGCTGTCACTGGTATCCCCCCATCTTGAATTGATTTTGAAAGGTTCCGCTAAATGAACCTGTGTAGATGAACCAATGTCACCATCCTGGTCTCGGAGGTATTTTTGAACTGTTTCTATGGCTAATTGTCCTACATTTTATGGAGTCGATTCACCTTATTGGGGGCTTCTTGGTTTGCTTATCTGTGACTCCATTTTTTCCCCTCACACTTTGTATCCTATTTCGCTGTGTCTAGATCTCTAAGTCTCTAGACATGTCACACATTACCTATCAATGGGGATATGCATACTACTCTTATAGCAACAGTACTACTATGTTGTCATTTTTACTTTTGCTTATTCAGCACCATTTGACACCTTACCATGAAGAAGATCCTATCCCTAAACATCAATGGCTTGAATTGTAACCACAAACTACATCTGGCACTTTGGGAGTTTAGGCAATCTGGAGCTGCCGTGATATTAGCACAGGAGACTCATCTTGATATAAGAAGCACGCTTACATTTGCATCCCGTTATTATTCTCACATTTACCAAGTCTCAAATAGGAGGAAGCAGGCAGGAGTTGCCATACTTATTACATTAGGCTGTTTGTGCTCGTGGATTCAGTCATAGACCCCAGAGGACATTTTCTTTTCCTAAGGAGTGCATGGTCGACCCATGACATAACCCTATGTAACTTGTATGCCAACGTCAACCAAACTTCCTTTCTCTCGCGCCTATTGCCTATTCTGTGTGGAACACAAGTACCTGGTGATGGGGGGATTACAATTTACTATTCTCAATAGTGATGGACAGGCTTGCTCTGAATACTAGGACTCCACACACTCACTCGCTTCTAAAAGTTCCCAACTCTTTCACCAACTTACCAGACGGCAATCTCTTTTCAGTGCATGGCGTGTCTTACACCCAGAAGATAGACAATTTACACATTGCTCTCATCCACATCTCTGCATTTATGCATTGATTTTTTTTTTCTAAATAACCCAACGCTATGGACACTTAAAGCAGCTAAATTCTGCCTATATCTTGGTCAGACCATGCCCCTATATTGCTGACTCGCTACCATATTGAAAACTTGTCATTTGCAGTTTAATGACTTCTTTTGTTAAATCAGACCCTTTTAATTTGGTTTTTGAACATGTAGTTTTTTAACAAACAAGTGCACAACATGAGCGCATCACACTATACACAATACAAAGACAATGGGCATATAGTGATTAAACAACAATCAGTAAATACACCGTATGGATATATATCCGATAATAATAAGCCCATTAAACCAGCACAGATTGACCCAATTCAGTTTCTCCTTCCTATTCTATCTAGCTGCACTTGTCTTTCCCACAAACTAGTAAAATTCCAGCTGTTATATATCTTACAATTAAAGCGGAACTCCACCCAAAAGGGGAAGTTCCGCTTTAAGGACTGCTCCCCAATAAGAATTGGCACCTTTGGGAGGCAGGGGGAAGCGGGTACCCGAATTTGACAGGTACCCGCTCCCACTTCCGGTCCGATCGCCTAGCGGAAGGTGTCCTCCCTCCCTCCCTGTAGTCTTTTGGGACATGTGACAGATCCCAGAAGACTACAGGACCATTCATGAAGCGCAGCGCTACTCACGCATGCCCAGTGGGTAGCTGGCTGTGAAGCCGCAAGCTATCTCAGCCGGGTGCCCACACTGAAGATTCCGGCCTCCTGGAATACAGGACGGCCGGTGAAACGGGCTGCGGAGGACACACCGCGGGAGAGGTAAGTGGATGTTTTTTTTAAAAGTCAGCAGCTACAGTTTTTTTTAGCAGCTGACTTATTTTTTGACAGGGTGAGTGGAACTCAGCTTTAAGGGCCTCACGCGTTTATAGAGGAAACAATCTATTTGCTATCATATGGAGCAAAGCCAAACCGAGTGTTGCCAGCCAGGGACCCCATATAATTTAAAATTTTCTAACACAGTTTCTGTACTGAAATATTAGTTTTTCTCCAGAGATTACATTGTTAACCTGAATTTTCCACTCTGTTAAAAATGGAGGGCTGGCGATATCCATTTGTGTGCTATCAATTTCCCTGCTATATAGAGTAACCTAGTGACAGAAGGCATCAGCTCAGTGGGTACAATAGACTCAGCAAGCATATTTTATGTTCTGCAGACGAGGTAACTTGATAAATGGAGGATATGATAAAGACAATATCTTGCCAATATCTATGAAGTTTCGGACATCTCCATAGCATATGAATAAGATCCGCTGGACCTCTGTCACATCTAGGACACAAATCTGTGTCTCCGATTCCATCCATATAATTTAACCGGAGTATGATAAACCCTATGAAGTATAAAAAGCTAAAATTTCTTAATAGGCCTGATGCAGTCGCTCTTAAGTCGCTCCCTAACCGTAAGGCCCCTGGGCCAGATGGTCTTCCCAATAAATATTACAAGACCTTTCTCCCCATCTTTCTACATAAAAGCCCTATTCCTCTGAATATTCAGCGTTCCTTCATCATTTTAAAGTGGAGTTCCACTCACACTGTAAAAAAATAAGTCAGCAGCTACAAAAACTGTAGCTGCTGACTTTTAAATAACAGCCACTCATCTATCCCACGGTATCCTCCCCGTAGCCCATTTCACCGGCCATCCTGTGTTCCAGGCGCAGGCATCTTCACTGTGGGCACCCGGCTGTGACAGCTTGCAGCTTCACAGCTGGGTGCCCACTGTGCATGCACGAGTAGAACTGCGCTTCCTGAATGGCCCTGCGTTCTTCCGAGAACTGTTACGTGTCACAGAAGACTACGGGGAGGGAGGGTAGAAGGACACCTTCTACTTCCGATCGCCTAGGCGATTGCAGCGGAAGTAGGGGCGGGTACCTGTCAATTTCGGTTACCCGCTCCCCAAAGGTGCCAATCCTTAATGGGGAGCGGGGGACCAGTCTTTAAAGCAGAACTTCGCTTTAATACCCAACCAGACAAGGACCACCCTCTTTGCACCAACTACAGGCCAATAGCCTTATTGAAATCAGCTTTAAAAATATTCACCAAGTTACCTTCTACACATTTGAATGAGGTTCTCCCTGCACTAATGCACAAAGATCAAGTGGGCTTCGTCCCATTCCACCAGGGGGCGATAAAACCAGACGCGTGATTGACTTAGCCAAAAGAGATAAAAACCTTGCTCTTCTGCTTAGACGCTGAAAAGGCATTTGATCATCCAAGTTCGCCCTTCCTTTTTGAAACCTTTACTCATGTAGGCCTCAAGGGTCCTGTTCTGAGGGCAATCCAGCACCTTTATACTTGCCCAACTACACAAGTTAAAACACCTTATGTACCCCCGTTCTCGTTTACGAATGAGACACGACATGGATGCCCCCTTTCCCCTCTGTTACTGGGTATGGAATTTAAAATCTTCCTTTTCGTGTACGGTATTCTTTTAACCTTAACCTCGCACTTCTCTCCCCAACCTGCATAAAGAGTTATACATATATGGGTTGATGTCTGCTATAAAAATTAATTCATCCAAATCAGAGGCTCTCCCTTTAACCTCCCTGGCGGTATGATCATGTCAGGAATTTTGTGCTGAAAGCGGTACCATTTTTTTGCATGGAAATATGTAGTTTTTAATTGTAGGCTGTAATTTTTAGGAATAACTCACTGAAATCTTTCCGAAAAAGAGTCTATTAAACATTCCGGATATGATAAAACTTGAAACACGAAATCATAAATTATAATTTAATAAATAATCATAAAAAAATAATAATAAATAATAATAAATTTAATTCAATAATATAATCAAACCAAAAACACTGAAATTTGAAATACAGAGGCAAATTCGCACATCGCTGAGCAAAGTCGCAAAATCGTTCTCAGTGTCTGATGACGAATTTCCCCACAAATCATTATCACTCAATTCTGCAAGTGGTTCTGATTTACTATCGCTGTTCTAAAACCGCTTTTGACGTAAAGGGACCCTTTTTGGCCGCCATGGACTTTTCTAAGTTTCCAGGCAGAAAGAACAGTCAAAATGCAGGCAGGGCACAGGACAAAGCAGTAGGGACAAAATGTATGTGAAATGCAGTGAAACAGCAATGACAGCAAAAATGTCATTTTTTAAAAATTTCAAATTTCCCGCCGGTTCCGCCGCCCGAACGTTCCGACGTCACGGGGACCGGAACACGGAAGCCAGATGCCGGCATCCGCCGGAGGAGATGGACGGGGACGCTGCAGGGGACCCATCGTGGGAGCGAAGGACAAGGTAAGTGCTGCAGGGACCCCCAGAGAACGCTGCATGGTAAGCCCGAGTGTAGCTCGGGGTTACCGTTCTTGGTATAGAAATTCTACCCCGAGCTACACTCGGGAACACCGCCAAGGAGGTTAAATATCCCTCATTCAGACATCCAACATCTGTCATCCACTTTTCCTTACTCATGGGGGTCCTCTTCGATTAAATACCTTGGAAGACTTGCCAATTCTCTTGGATAGGTTGCATTATGAATATACTCCCCCAAGCTTCTACAGGTGAAACTCAAAACATTAGCATATTGTGCAAAAGTTCATTTATTTCAGTAATGCAACTTAAAAGGTGAAACTAATATATGAGAGAGACTCATTACATGCAAAGCAAGATAGTTCAAGCTGTGATTTGTCATTATTGTGAGGATTATGGCTTACAGCTCATGAAAACCCCGAATCCACAATCTCAGAAAATTAGAATATTGTGAAAAGGTGCAATATTCTAGGCTCAAAGTGTCCCACTCTAATCAGCTAATTAAGCCATAACACCTGCAAAGGGTTCCTGAGCCTTTAAATGGTCTCTCAGTCTGGTTCAGTAGGAATCACAATCATGGGAAAAACTGCTGACCTGACAGTTGTGCAGAAAACCATCATTGACACCCTCCATAAGGAGGGAAAGCCTCAAAAGGTAATTGCAAAAGAAGTTGGATGTTCCCAAAGTGCTGTATCAAAGCACATTAATATAAAGTTATGTGGAAGAAAAAGGTGCACAAGCAGCAGGGATGACCGCAGCCTGGAGAGGATTGTCAGGGAAAGGCCATTCAAAAGTGTTGGGGACTTTCACAAGGAGTGGACTGAGGCTGGAGTCTGTGCATCAAGAGCCACAACACACAGACGGATCCTGGACATGGGCTTCAAATGTCATATTCCTCTTGTCAAGCCGCTCCTGAACAACAAACAACGTCAGAAGCGTCTTTCCTGGGCTAAAGACAAACAGACCTGGTCTGTTGCTCAGTGGTCCAAAGTCCTCTTTTCTGATGAGAGCAACTTTTGCATCTCATTTGGAAACCAAGGACCCAGAGTATGGAGGAAGAATGGAGAGGCACACACTGCAAGATGCTTGAAGTCCAGTGTGAAGTTTCCACAGTCTGTGTTGATTTGGGGAGCCATGTCATCTGCTGGTGTTGGTGCACTGTGCTTCATTAAGTCCAGGGTCAATGCAGCCTTCAACCAGGAGATTTTGGAGCACTTCATACTTCTTTCCGCAGACTAGCTTTATGGGGATGCTGACTTCATTTTCCAGCAGGACTTGGCACCTGCCTACACTGCCAAAAGCACCAAAACCTGGTTCAATGACCGTGGGATTACTGTGCTTGATTGGCCAGCAAACTCGCCTGACCTGAACCCCATAGAGCATCTATGGGGCATTGCCAAGAGAAAGATGAGAGACATGAGACCGAACAATGCAGAAGAGCTGAAGGCTGCTATTGAAGCATCCTGGTCTTCCATAACACCTCAGCGGTGCAACAGGCTGATAGCTTCCATGCCACGCCGCACTGAGGCAGTAATTGCTGCAAAAGGGGCCCAAACCAAGTACTGAGTACATATGCATGCTTATACTTTTCAGAGGTCCCATATTGTTCTATGTACAATCCTTGTTTTATTGATTGCATGTAATATTCTAATTTTATGAGATTGTGGATTTGGGGTTTTCATGAGCTGTAAGCCATAATCACAATTATGACATATCACAGCTTGAACTATCTTGCTTTGCATGTAATGAGTCTATCTCATATATTAGTTTCACCTTTTAAGTGGCATTACTGAAATAAATGAACTTTTGCATGATATTCTAATTTTTCGAGTTTCACCTGTATATTCATTTCAAACATTGCCAATCCCTGTCCCCCCTTCTCATCTCTGGAAATTACAGGAAGATCTTTTTGGACTTTGTATGGGTCTACAAAAGACATCAGGTTGCGCGATCTGTATTGCTCCCTTCACGAACTGATGGAGGTTTGGGATTTTCAAGCTTACTGACCTACTACCACGCAGCACAGATGAGAGCCATTGCCTCATTATTATTATCATACAGGGTTTATATAGCGCCAACAGTTTGCACAGCGTTTTACAAAATGAAGGTAGACATTAGTTACAATACAATTTGGTGCAAGAGGAAACAGAGGGCCCTGCTCGTTAGAGCTTACAATCTAGCCTCATGGTCCATTTTGTTCACTTATAACAGGTGGATGGAGGTGGAAAAACTTTTTTTTGGTCCCCATTCATCCAAAACCTTTTGTGGAGTGCGAATGTATCAGTGCCCCGATAGACTTCTGTGCACCATGTCCTTCCTCCATAATTTATGTAACATGCTAAAGCGTGGTTACACTTTGACATCTAATGCTTTCCTGCTAAACCTCTTTTCTCTGTAATCTCGAAGTGCCAGATAGTCGGTCTACTTTAATGACACCCCCTGATTACGAGGGCAACTATTTCAATTCCGACAGCTAGTAGACCCCGTTACCTGGAAATTGCTTTCCTTCAAGCAATTACAAACTAGACATGATTTATCTACAGCTAGTTATGGTTATTTCCGGATAAGATATTATACGCTCTCCGCGAATCCACACATTGCAGTTTTCCAAAACTTCACCCTTTGAAAGATTACTTGCAGAAGACCCCTTTTAGAAAAGCCTAATCTCAGACGCCTATAAGCTGTTAAATACCTACCCCTTCCAAACACTAGGTAAACATACATGCTCAAGTGGGAAAACATCCTAGGGGACGAGATTACCTTTGAAACCCGATAAGTTATCTGGTCCCAAACCGCGCCAAAAGCTCTATGTCTAAACTCTACAAAGAAAATCTTTATAAAATTACTCTATTTCTGGTATCTCACCCCAGAACTTTTGCACACCATACATCCTACGGCCAGTGACCTTTGCTTGTGCTGCAATAGTGGTAAAGGCTGCCTTATTCACATTTACTGGAGTTGTCCTCGGATTGTACCCTATTGGAGAGCAGTTCACCAAACAATACAATGATCATTTGACTCCACTTCTCCTTTTACCCCTAAATTATTTTTGCTGGGTCTGCCATCTCAAAATCTCTCCAAACCCTATAAAAGAAAGCTTCTGAAGGCATATACTTACACCTCCCTCTCAGGAGGTTCTAAGTCATTTCCAAGCAAAAAATGCTTATTTTTATTTTGTAGGAGAGAAGTGTCAGAATAGGCTTGGGTCTACAGTGGTCAACCACTTAAAGGGCAGCTCAGATGGAAAATGGGCACTTGGCATGTGCTTCTAAAAGGTCAAAGTTTTTTTTTTTTTTTTTTTTTTTTTTTTAAAGAGTAGAGGAGCAAAGGTGGTTTAAACTGCTGAACTTTTGTTGATTTATGCCTTTAAACCTTGTTATGCAGTCTTAGAGAGCTAGGAGATCCTGTGTAACTTAAGGTGGGTATCATGGCAGCAAATAGAGTAAATGATGAAGGCCTTCTGAAATCTTCTAAGTGTCAATAAAAGCCATTTTTAATCCAACTCTTACTTGAGAAGTAACTTTATCCACAGAAAGTCAGGTACACCCTCTAATGGCCATCTGTATATATGAATGTACAGTTCACATCCTTACTAAGTGAACAATGGCATAAAATAAATCACCTAGATAACTGCCAGCTCATACATCTCCCCTAACACAAGACAAAAGTTGGGGACACTGCAAAACATCTTAGAATCCAACTTCAGGGGAGCCATGCCATGTGATTTTTTTTAATGGCAAGATACACGCTGGGTGTCCAATGCACTCCTGTACCTTGAAGGATGGGTGGGGTCCCTCAGGTCCACCTATCCATTAAATACATGTGCCTCTACTACGGGGGCTCTCAAAATTTGTAGCGTTAGGTACTGCAGAATATCGGAGTGCTGGGACGAGGCTCTGCAGCTTACGCATGTATTTGTAAATGTGTACTAACTAAACACTTGTTTTTAACGCATATTGTTAGATAGCTTAATTCGGTTTGTTTGCAGGCTGGTTGGCAAGTTGAGCTGGGAATTTTTCTCTTTTGTTGTTTGACATGCGTCACCCTTCCACGTGCTGTGAAGGCCAGTTATAGACTGGGGCAGCGTCCATTTTTTGTAAGTCTAATGAAATGCAGTTCTAATGGGTAGAGCCATTACCTGTTCTAACAAATGTTAGTAAATCCTTGGCACAAACAAAACAAGTAAACGAAGATTTAAAAAAAAAAAAAAAAAGAAGGTACCTTTTAAGTGCTAGCATGCTTTCTTTTACATCTCTGGTAGAAAGCGTTACAAGGACAAGGTCTGAAAGTGCAAGCAACAGTTCCTTGTTAATTGTTCTCCAGTTGCTTTTAGCTGAAGCTGTGTGAGAGGACAAATATTCCTGTAACACAAAACACATATAAACCAGCTTAAAAAGAGAAGTGGCATTGATACACCATCCTATTACTGCCATCCTGCTTTCCAAAGTCATAAGCTGATGATACCAATTTCAGAAGCTATTCATCCACTGTTCCTAACCCAAACCTGGGTTTTGCCTATTGACAAAGAAAGATGCTTTAAAGTGATTCGAAAGGAAAGTTTTTATGTTTTTTATAACATGGTTTACTTATCTGCTCTGTGCAATTGTTTTGCACAGAGCAGCACCAATCACATGGTTTCTGGGTCCCCCACCGGCGGTCCAGGCTCCTTCCCCCCTGCTGACTCCCACAATGAACCCTGTGTGCCCATTCTCACACAGAGCGTGGGTCAGCCCCACCCCCTGTTCTCTCCTCAATGGCTCACTGATGCGATTGACAGCAACAAGAGCCAATGGATCCTGCAGCTGTGAGAGCCAAATCAGGAGAGCTATTATTCTCATGCACATTACTGTACCAAGATAGGGCTCAGATAAGTAAATGGGCTGGGGTTGGGCACGGGGAGCTAAGATTACAAAAAAAAAAAAAAAAAAAAAAACACTTGAGCCTTTAGAACCACTTTAAAGATTCTCCAACACATACCCCTGTTTCCACTACCCTTTGCTGCATACAGCTGCTAGGACAGCAATGGGCAAACTACGGCCCGGCGGACCTTTTAATCCAGCCCGTGGAGCGTGATGCTGTCAGGATGTGTGTAGGCGGGGCAGCATGACGAACGTGAGGGGAGCTAGGCTCCTCTCACAGTCCGCCCTGAAGACCGGAACGGCGCGGGAACACGGCGAGAGGAACGCGCGGAGCAAAGGTAAGTGAATGAATTACTATGAATGAATTACTATATGGGGATGAATTACTATATGGGGGATGAATTACTATATGGGGGGACGAATTACTATATGGGGGATTAATTACTATGCTTACTATGGGGGAATATTACTATACTTACTATGGATGACACATACACATCATTCATCTACTCTTGGTCCGGCCCCCGGGTCCTATATATGAACCCATTGCGGCCCTCAAGTCAAAAAGTTTGCCCACCCCTGTGCTAGGAGCAAAGAAATATCCAGAAGAACAGTCCTCAGCTTTGTGGTAGCAATGACGTGTGATTTTGAGATTTCCTCTGAGGAGGGCTTCTGGGTAGGCATGGTGGTGTTTGGGTGCAGCGCTTGTGACAAGAGTTACAGTGATACTAGAGGCTTTTATTTTTTTTCCCTAAAATTAAAAAAAAGGTTTATATCTACCTCCTCTGCACAAGGATATTGCACAGAGTGGCCATTACTTGTTCTTCTGGGGTGCCCCTCCAGTTCTCTCTGCTTCGCTTCTCCATGAGCCCCCATAAAAAGCTGCATGCTATGGGGGCACACGTGGGTACAATACCGAGCTGACTGTGTGTGTCCATAGACAAACACAACACAGCTTTCTTAAGCAACCCTGCTCCTTCCTCACTAGATTTAAGTGACAGCAGCAGGAGCCAGGAGTCCCGTGGGAGCAATGAGAGGGACCATAGCTGCTGCAAGTTGTGCAGCAGCAATGTATTTGGGGGAAACTCGGCAGCAATTGTTCTGCTAATCTGTCTTGCCTTGTTAGCAAAAGTCTGGCAAATAAACATGGCAGCAATTACTGGCTGCAAGAAAGTAGTGAGACCCTTTCCATGAACACCATTTCACATTGTTTCTGGGTCCCCCATTGGTGGTCCAGGCTCCTCCCCCCTGCTGACTCCCACAATGCACTGTGAGTGTTCTCTCCTCAATGGCACACTGATGCAATTGACAGCAACAAGAGCCAATGGATCACGCTGCTGTGAGAGCCAATGAGGAGAGCTATTGTTCTCATGCACATTACTGGATCGAGATAGGGCTCAGATAAGTAAATGGGGGGGGGGGGGTTGGGCACGGGGAGCTGCACCCTCAAGGTTTTTTACCTTAATGCAATTGTTCTGCTCATCTGTCTTGCCTAGTCAGCAATAGTCTGGCAAATAAACATGGCAGCAATTACTGGCTGCAAGAAAGTAGAGAAACCCTTTCCATGAACACCATTTCACACTTGCACAAAACCCAGCAGCAGACAATGGATACCCCATTCTCCTCTCATCCCACATTCCTCTGCTGTGGCAAACTCATCCAGCTTTGCCTTCTTTCTTCCCTACTTGGATGGGCCCTTGCTAGCCAAGAAGGGCCTTCCCTTTGTCTGTCAGCTTATTGATGTATCCGAGCAGGAGACAGCTGTGTCAGCAGGAGTCAGGTAAACATGACCACAGTGTCTGAGCAGGGAGAAGGAGGGAAAATGGAAGTAGAGAACTGAGGCGGAATGCACTGTTTGCAGTCAAATTACTTTTAAAATGTAAGGATTACCCACATACTGTACGTGTAGCATTAAAATACAAAGAGCACACATAAGAAGGAAATAAATACCTTTAAAACTTGCACAACACATGAGCACCACTCTAAGTGTGTGCGTAAAACTCTTCTCTCTGGTTTCAGACAGTGGATCACAGCTTCATCTAGTCTTTTACTTGACCGAAATAACTCTACAAGTCTAATATTGACAAACACATCATTGGGCCTTGCAAACAGTTCCGACTGAATCAAATCAAACAATTGATTCCAGCCTGCTTCACCTTCACAGTTTAAAAGCTGCTCCTGAAAAAAAAAATAGAAATAATTACAGTCTACATGAGAAATTAAGACTCCCAAGTGGTACACAATCACAACAGATACTCTGCAGAACTGTACTGGTAACCAGAAGCATTAAAGAGTAAACAAACATTTTCCATTAGTGATCTGTGCCTGCAGCACCATGTAGTGTATGAAAAAGTATCAGTTCTCTTTGTATTGCTTTGTTTGAAAACCCTGGTGTTGCTGCCAGTCCCTCTGCCATTACTATTAAACGCTGACCACACTAGGCAGGAGAGCACAACGTGGTCCATTTTCTAGCTCAACTTGCTCTCTTCCAATGGTCAAACCTCTGCTTACATGCCCCTTTTCCCCCCTCGCACACAGCCATTTACTGGAAGTTCACTGTGATGCAGTTTCTCCTCCAGCTCTCTAAGCTCCTTATTGTAGCTGAAAACAGATGGCAAGTGATCACTTCTAAAATAGTGTGGGGAAAAAAAGAGGTATTTATAATATTTTATAAGACTACACAAACGTTTTGCCTTTCATTTCTATTTTAAACTGAATGGGTTGTTTTACAAGAACAGGGAACACATATACTTTAATAGATAATTGATGCTGGAGGAGCAATGAAAAAAAATAAATTGAAAACCATCAAACCAACATTTATTTTATATCTAGAGTATTGCAGGGTTGGAAAATCCCATTATTTCTGTCCAATTGATAAAAAGGTACACAAATATTAAAAGTAGAAACCACAATTTGCAAAGACATCATGATAATGGTGTCTTGCTCAAACATCTGGTAATATACAAGGGAGATCTATTTTTAAGAAGCATAGTAGAAGCTTAGCTTAAAACAGACCCCATTTGCTAGATGAAGAATGGCACCTCTAGAACTCACCAGTAAACAGTATTATGGGTATATGCTCTACCTAGAAGAGTATTGGCATTGTTAATGTTATGCCCCTTTCCTCAGAACTGGAACCTATAGTCTGTGTCAAACCAATAGTAATAGAGGACTGTTTGACTACCAAAGGTTACAGGTAGAAAATGAAGGGGGAAAAAAAAAAAAGTAGATGTGGACCCCCCCAAAAAATAGATTTTTTACTTACCTGTAAAATCTAACATCCAATTCTTGGAGTGCATCACAGGACACAGATTGTTAATCCTTACTAACACAGTTATGTGCCCCCTACAGGTGACTGGACACTGGCAAAAAAGATAGGATGTGCCCTCCTATATAACCACTCCCATACAGGAAGGTCCTTTGTTTTGTAGCAAGCTATTCACCACATTACAGAGGGGAGGGATCTCTGTGTCCACTGATTTGACTACCTGTTTTTTTAGTATAAGTCAAGTTTTCTTTATCGTACACCAAGGGACATAGAGCAGCTTTATTGTTCCCAAAGCACTGCCATGAGGGGAGGAGTGACACAGCCACTACTGACAGGCCCAAAGTGAACCTCACACAGCAGCCTGCAAAACACTCCTCAGAGGCTCTAACATCCACCTAGCAAAACCTTGTAAAAGTATGAACCGAAGCCTTGCAGACCTGAACAACTGATGATTGATGACGGATAGCCCAAGAGGCACCTATACTCATAGTAGAATGAGCAGTCAATAGAAAAAGTGAAGCCCTTTCTTTCAAAACATATGCAGGAAAACATGTAGGTCCTTAGGACCCAGGAATTACTTGCCTCCCTCCCATTCCCTTCACACTATAAAAATGTCAGGGTTCTACTGGGGCTCAGGTCTGAAGAAGGAGCCTATTGAGCATGCTCTGAAATGCATTACCACCCCCCCCTTCACCTGCTACATCTGACTCTGCTCTCCAAGCTTCATTTTTGATGCACAGGCACATCCTGGCCTCTACTTCCTGATCCTATAGACACAGTTTGCTGCTGGACGGCTGGATGTCCCACCTGGATCTAATTACCACACAATGAGTCTTTTTAACCGTTTATCTTGTAAGTGCAAATTTTCCATTGTTTACTGAATAAATTGTCAATACTGCACTTAAGAGGCGCCTTCCTTTCTTTTTCTTGTTACTGCATTAGAGCCTTGCTTCCACTCTAAGAAGAGCTGCCTCAGTGTTACTGCTCCCATCTATCCATCCCTGATATCCATCTGGCACCTTTATCTTACAGCTACAGAGGTTGGACTCCAACAAGCACGCCCTATATAATATACATTTTCTAATTTTAGATACATCCTGATCCATATCACTAAGCATGGATAGCCTTGCTCCCCAAGGACTGAGGCCTAGGACATAACAGGCAGCAAAACAAGTGTCTGAGGATCTGGTGAAGAGGAAACATTGGGACATGTAGATTATGTCTACCAACACAAGGAATCCTCTGGATGGAGCGAGGCCACCTCCAAAAGCACTAATTTAAAATGATTGTAAATGTTTGTGGGTTTTTTCTTTATTATTATAATTATTAAAATAACGAACGTGTTATACTTGCATGTTCTGTGCAATGGTTTTGCATAGAGTAGCCCCGATCCTCCTCTTCTCAGGTCCCCCACAGGTTCTTCTGACTCCTCTCCCAGCCAAGGGCCCCCACTGAAATCCACTTGCTATAGGGCCACCTAAGCATGCTCACTCCCAAACCCTACTCTGTGTGTCCATAAGACACACACAGCGGGGCTCGGTCGCACCACCTCATTATTGGCTCCAAATGACAGCAGTGGGAGCCAACGGCTCCCTCTGATATGTCTGAATCAATGAGGAGCAAGAGAGTCAACTCTCGTGCACAGTTAAGGGGCTGGGGGGAAGCTGCATGCAGAAGGTTTTTTTTATACATTAGAACCTTCTGCCTTCACAATCACTTTAAACCGGAACTTCCACAACCTGAAAAGGCTGTTGAGATGCTCGAGTCCCAGGATGGGCCAAATCTGGCTGTTTGGTTTTGGAACAGTAAAGAGGTTGAAGTAGAAACCATGGCAACTCTTTTCCTCTGGAACCATAATGATCACTCTTCTTGTGAGAAAGAGGATGATTGAGAGCTTGCAAAAGGGCAAACTTCCTTGTGGATTCCCAGAGAACATTTGCAAGCATGAAGTGTAGAGATGAGGATCCAAAGTTTCAACCTGCAGCTGGGAGCCCCTATACAGTGAATCTCGTCTGCCATTCCCCCCACCCCCGACTAAAGGCCTGCAAACACCTTCCCCAGTCGTATAAACGGGAGCACTGCTACACTGAGAAGAGAATTTGGGTATACCTGAATATACTGGCTTAGAGGCCCAGTATTTCGCACGGAATTGGACATGAGATCAATGTCTGATAGCAGCAAAATGGATGTCTCATGGAAGAAGTAGAAAGAGCCTTAGATCTCGATTTGTGCATTTACCTTTCTTCCCAAATGGTAAAGAAGCTCTTATCACCCGAAATCTTCTGGATAAACGATTCAGGTCAGTTCCAAACAAACATTCTCTTTGAAAAGGGAAAATGTGCCAGCAACTTCTTACAGGATAGCTCTGCAGACCAGGCATTTTAGCCAAAAGAACATCAAATATGGACAAAGTTCCAAACATGCAGACGTTGTGCTTCAACCTCAAGGCTCCAGCAGACACCAAAAGCAGCAACTACTGGCTGCAAGCTGCTTTCACCAAGGTGAAAAGACTTTGTCCAAGACTGCCAGATGTTTGATGACAGCATCCTTAACCAGTTCCCAACCGCGCTATAGCCAAAAGACTGCTACAGTGCGGTTGGCTAGTTCTGGGAGGGAGTCTATGGACGTCATCCCAGAAACACAATCATAGTTAAAGAAAGGATGTATCGGAGACCAACTGAGGATCTTGTGGCAGCTGTCATGATCCCAGGGGCGGAGTTTTCTGAGAGAAATTGCACGAAGGCAATCTTTTAAAACTACTTTAACTCTGACCCTGGGGATCCTCAGCTGCAGAGTCCTTGGAAGAGTGCAGAGTCTTCCACCTCCCTATCATTAGCTACACCGTTATCGGAATCTGTCCTCTACAAGTTTCTCCTCCATTAATCAGGAAGAGACAGGAAATTGGAAACGTCTACATTTGCGACTTAAACATTCCAAAGCAGAAAGACTGTCAAACAGCTGTTATAGCATTCGCACTAACGCAGATAACAAATCCACCCTTGTCATGGAGGTAGGTGCACCGGGAGATAGCAAAAGTACCCATCAGAGAGAAAGGAGACTGGGCCGCTAGGTACACACTGACCCCCAGGTGAAGGGGAAACTAAAAGGGGGGGCACATCTAGGTACTTCCCTACCCGGAGATATTTGGGGAGAATGCCCCCACCGCACACCAAGGTGTGCTTACGTGGGTCTGGCAAAAGAAGCTTGTTGCATTCAGCTGTTTGCAAAGTAGTGACTCCAGTCATAGGAGGTGCCAGTTGTGTCACAGTGCTTCTATCCAGCTGCTCAATGCTGCCTTGAGTGCCACTTATGACATTGCCAAAGGAGCAACATGGCCGCCGCAGCAATTTCCCGTCAGTTTCCACACCTGAAAACACATTGTATTTTTAGATGTGTAAGGGTGCCTTTAAGAATGGCTGTCAGTCCTGCTCTACTGAAAAAGCAGTATGTTTTGGCTGGAACAGCTGCAATTCTCGCAGCCTCAAACACCTGCAGTAGTGTGAACCTAGCCACTTATGACATTGCCACCAAAGGCTGAAAATGGCCGCTGCCAGATACCTTCACTCCTGCTCGTGACATCATCATCTAGCACCATTTGTGCGGCAGGCCACAGGGAAAGCAGAGGCCAGAGAACAACTCCATCCCCTTAACACATGGTAGTATACAGAAGGGGACTTCTTGTATCGTGCCAGTATCCAATCACCTGTTGGTGGCGCATAGCCCTGTAAGGAAGGAATAATAAAGCTTCAATATTTTAAAACAACATTTTCCCATAGCTTACTTTTAGTCTGTAGATAACAGGACTTCCAGGGAAAAGCTTAGCTGCTTTTTCCACCCAGTATTCTGCTCTACCATCTGTGACATCGCTAGTGCATATCAATTCAGCAATCCTAAGAACAAGATCCTTCTGAGTAGGGTTCAGTTCCAAAGAACGCTGAAATCAGAGGAAAAATAATGATTATATACCTTTCTTATTACATAATAGCACATTGAACTACTACTGGACTAATAAATAGAATTATAAATGAATAGCTCAACAAATAAAATTTTATTCATTACAACAAAGGAAATAACAGTAAACATAAAAATATCAACGGCATTTAAAACAGAAGAGTGGGTTTTGCAAAAATAAACACACATAAACCTAGATGGCTGCAGCTGTCCTCTGCTGCCACAACACCGAGAACTGAGCGATTTAAGACCACTAATTGCTCAGTTCTCTGTATTCAGTCTGCAGAGAGTGAGAACTTTCAGTCTTCAGCTCTCTGCTCTGCCCCACCAGAGCTCACTGGAGCACTGGGATGTGGAGGGGGTGGAAGAGGCTGGTTCACACTCTCAAAGGTGCCTGAGACAGCTACCTGTAAAGCATCTGGGCAGATCCCAACATCATTGTTGGGATCCCTGCAGAGCCTGGATGGGCTCTCTGACGTTAGCCGACAGTGGGCTTTAGCTCACTGTGGGCTGAATCTGGGACACAGAAGTGCAGAAACAAATGCACTCCTGTGACTCACAGGAGAAGTATGGCCAAAAATCTTTGGCCATAGTTTCTTTAAAACTGTACCTAACCACACATTATAGCAATATAGCAGCAGGAGGTAAATACATGTCAACTAGGCATGCCTGCACATATTTTACATTGGCTTTCATAGTGTCCTCGAGCAGCTTCAAAACCTATGGTGTTCCATAATGCAAACGTAAATGCCTACCCATTCCCACCCTTCACTATTCGTCCATCACTTTGACAGGCAGATTAACAGAATAATACTGAGGTCCCAAACATGACTGAGTTGCAGAAGCATCCAAGGTCCTGATGCTCCCTGGGTGCTTTGAAAGCCATCACAAGGCATGAGCAAACACTCATAGGTGCCTGGTTTTCTGACAATTAGCATATATATATATATATATATATATATATATATATATATATATATCACACACATACACACACACACATATATATATATATATATATATATATATATACACATATATATATATATATACACACACACACACACATACATACATATATACATATATATATAAATACACACACACACATACATATACACACAAAGAAAATTCTATAACTAAAATACCTTGTAGCAGCCAACAGCTTTATCAACATTCCCTTCAAGTTCAAAAAGCTGACCAAGAAACCGGTGTGCTTTTGGATCCCTTGCTTGCACATCAATGTAGGATGACACACATCTGAAAACATATTGAACAATTCTATTATTAGACTCTTACATTTTAAAACATTTATGGAAATGAATGAATGAATGCACATGGACCTGTATATATTGCTGCAGAACTGAAAAAATATTAGTATACGAGATAAAAACCACAGTCTGGGGAGAAATGATAGCATTAGTAATAGCACTAAAGTCAAGTCAAATATTGTCCACTTACAGTAATTGAATCCACCACATGAGCACAAAGACAATGAGGTTCTAAACTTTAACAGCTGTAAAAACTATGTAAGAATGGGTTATGCAGGTCAAGGTTTAGTGCAGCAATAGCACATATGATGCTGTACCCTCTCTAAAAATGAAACAGAACATTTCTTAGTCACTAGACCAGCCTTTCTCAACCTTTTCAACACAGGGGAACCCTTGAAATAACTTTCCGGTCTCAAGGAGCTCCTGCTAAATATTACTTTAATCATACATTAGTGTGGGAGGCCGTGGGAAGAATGGTCCTCAACATGCAGTAATTGGGTAGCTCAACCATGTCAGTTTGAGAGGCAGAAATTGCCCATTATTCAAGGAACACCTAGCAACTTCTGGAGGAACCTTAGGGGTCCATGGAACCCTGGTTGGGAAACCCTGCACTAGACCAAGATACTAGTGAAGAAACTGTAAAGCAGCAATGTCACAAAACTACAGAAGTGGATAGTATTTGGTACACTGATGGGTAATGGCATGACCAGCACAAGGGACGAGCAAGAGAAGCATCTGACCCAGGGACCGCAGAGTAAGACCAAACATTTTTTAACACTAGCACTACCACTAACTGAACTCCTAAAGTCCGTCCTTGGTGCCCAAATTGCAGAGTGGGACAGGGCACCACGCAGAGTTGCTGTGGGGAGCTAAGACATGCGCTCTGATGGAGTCTCACTACTGTCAGGTGAAGTGATCTCCACCCAACAGATGAAGGTTAGTGCCAGTCTGCATGCCTGACGTCATTCATTCAGCTAAAGAGTGTGAACCCCATCTCTAAAATTAGAACCTCAAGAAGACTTTCTGCAGAGTTGTACTGCAGATATAACAAAAAGAGCATTTATGGAATATTTCAAGGAAGTTTTGTTCTGCCTCTCCAAGCTAAGCGCTGAAAGTGTGGTCTCTCTAACTGATCCAGTTCTGGAATGATACCTATAACTTACAGTCTTAGTATAATAAGCAGAAAATGACTCGTTTTAAATGACATCTTGAAGATCATAGAAAGCTTTAAAGCAGGGATGAACAACCTTTTGACCTTCCTGGGCCATATTAGAGGTAGGCGAAAGGTCTTGGGCCATATTTGCTCAAGCACAGTAGCCCATTCTTTTAAATGGGCTGCTGTGCCTTGTTTCACGCAGAAAAAAACAAACAAAAAAAAAGTTCCTGCACCATTTTTGAACCACATGGGCCGGGAAAAATCGCAGTGCTTTTCCACCATGCAATTTCCTGTCAGTTCCCGCACCTGGAAACACAATACGTTGGGGGTGCCATTAGGAATGGATGTCAGCCCTGCGCATCTGTAAACAGCTGGTTTGGCAGGAACAGCTGCGATTCTCACACTCACAACCACCCGCAGTAGTATGAACCCAGCCTAAATTCACGGACAGTTTGTGAAATCCATGATTTTTACATCTGTCTGTAAATATCTGTTACAGACATGCAGGCTGCATGTCCATAACAGACATTCATGGACAGATGTAAAAATCATGGATTTTACAAACCGTCCTTGAATTTAATGGGAAGTCGGAGGCAGGGGGGGAGCAGCTCACCTCAATATCTCCCCCCCCCCCCCCCAAAACCCAAGTGGCATTTACTTGCCTGGCGCTACACAGAATCCCTGCTTTAGCGGTTGGTGATGCTTTCACAAAAGACGGCACCCCCTGCATCACTTTAGCTGTGCTCATTCTTGCATTCTGTGTGCCACAGAGGCTTATATGAAAATAGGTATACACAGCATCCCCAGCAACCCTCCATACGTACTAGCAGCCTTGGCTTTTCTTGCATGGGGTTCTTCAAGACACGTGGGTTGGACACCACTGCTTTAAAGTTTAACTAAAAACAAAACTTTTTTTTTTTTTAATTCTGGATAGAGTGAAGATGGATTAGAACACCTGTCAATTTTTGCTGTGCCCCTGTTGAGGAGATTTACCCTCTTTGTTTTGTTTACCATAATCCCTGAAAGTGAAAGCAAAGAAAAACCCAAATTTTGGGTTGTCCTAGAAAAAGTAATAGAGGGGATGTTTTCCAATAGGGATACTAGATCTGAGGGTCCCCAAGGGATTCCCTTAATTTGCAGGGATTTCCTCTCACTTCCCGTCTAGCTAGGAAGACAGGAAATGAAGGAAATCTCCGAAACGGGGCACAGATGGGGTAAAAAACCTGACAGGGTTATAACCCTCCCTTGCACTATCGAAAAAAAAAAAAAATAATAATTTTTGCCTAGAATACTACTTTAATCCCAAAACTTTTCAGATCTTCACAGATCAACATCTAATAGTTAAAAAAAAAAAAATAAATAAATCATAGTATGTCTTGCTTCAGCAATTACATGTGCGCATTTATTTTAGGTACTTCTATAGCACAATTTATGTAGCGCTTTACATATATATTGTACATTCACATCAGTTCCTAACCCTCAAGGGGTGTACAATCTAAGGTCCTTAACTTACATTCATATATACACATACTAGGGACAATTTAGACAGGATCCAATTATCCTACCAGCATGCCTTTGGAGTGTGGGAGAAAACCGCAGTACACAGAGGAAACCTACGCAGGCACAGAGAGAACATGCAAACTCCAGGCATGTGGTGCCGTGGTTGGGATTCAAACCAACAACCCTAGTACTGCCAGGTAAAAGTGGTAACCATTTAGCCACTGTGCTGCCCAGAACAGAAATTAAAGGCAGAGGGTGGGACTAGCTATACAAAGCATTACCTAGCAACAGAGTGAGGAAGGGATACATTTATTTAAAACAAAACAAACAACAATGCATGCGTAACATGACAAATTTCAAACTTCACTTTTTTGCAAAGTTATTTACCTCTTGGCGAGATCATATTCTTTAGCTTCATAGTATAACTTGGCGAAAAGGAATCCCTTCATGGCTTTCTGGAAACAAAACAGTTGAAAGAAAACTTATTTTCTACACAAGAACTGTGGGCACCTGCATATTTTATGACAATGGATAGCATTGTGAAGAATTCAAACTATTTTACCTCCTGTGTAAATCTAAAATGGTAGTCTGTAAAGGCTTTTAAAGCGTTGCCTATGGATATAAAAAATGTATGCAGTTTGTCGCCATTGCATGGGGTGTGTGCAGTTTTAGAGCATGTCATGTTTGGTATCAATTTACTCGACATACCGTCATATTTTACAAAACAATTGGCCAATATATCGAGTTTTTGTGCATTAAAAGTAAAAAAGTGTGTTTTTTTCTTCAAATAAATTTGCGTTAAAAAAAAAAAAAAAAAATCGTTGCGTGAGTACTATGTGACATACAAAAATTGCAGCATCCACCAATTTATTCACTAGGGTGTCTGCTTTAAAAAATATATGTTTGGAAGTTCAAAGTAATTTCCTAGCAAAAAAATACATATTTTTTTCATGTGAACAAAAAGTGTCAGAATTGGCTTGGTCTTCAGGTGGTTAGAAGAGTGAGTGATGTGTGATAGTGATCTAATGCTGGAGATAAAATCCCCCCCCCCCCCCCCAAATGACCCCTTTTCGGAAAGTAGCCACCCCCAACTATTTGCTGAGAGGCATGTTTAGTCAACAAAAGAATTTATTTTTTTCACAAGTTTTTGGAAAATGACTAAAAAATAAAGTGTGTGTGTGTGTATATTTTTTTTTTTTTTTTTTTTTTTTTTTTTTTTTACACAAAGTTGTCGCTTAACCACTTACCTACCGGGCACTTATACCCCCTTCCTGCCCAGGCCAATTTTCAGCTTTCAGCACTGTAGCACTTTGAATGACAATTGCAACACCGATATGAAATTTTTATCATTTTTTTTGAGACCGATAAGAGCTTTCTTTTGGTGGTATTTAATCACCTCTGGGTTTATTTTTGTGCTAAAATTTTGGAAAAAAAAGTTTTAGTTTTTGTTATAACATTTTGTAAATAAGTAATTTTTCTCCTTCACTGATGTGCGCTAATGAAGCCGCAGTAATGGCCGCCATTTTTTCTTTTCCTCCAAATCCATACCAGACCCTTATCCGAGCATGCAGCCCGGCAGGTCAGGAAGGGGGGGGGATAGGGGAGGGGGGATGAGCGAGTGCCCCCCCCCCCACCTGAACCATACCAGACCACATGCCCTCAACATGGAGGGGTGCTTTGGGGCAGGAGGGCTCCCCCCCAAAGCACCTTGTCCCCAGGTTGATGGGGACAAGGGCCTCTTCCCCACAACCCTGGCCGGTGGTTGTGGGGGTCTGCAGGCAGGGGGCTTATCGGAATCTGGAAGCCCCCTTTAACAAGGGGGCCCCCAGATCCCATCCCCCCTGTGAATGAGTATGGGGTACATGGTACTGCTACGCATTCACAAAACACAAAGACCCAAAGGGCTTGGTGTGGATGGGAGGGGGGACCCCACGCCTTTTTTTATTTATTATGGTGCTGGTTTTTAAATGTAAATTCTTGCTTTTTTTTTTTTCTTCACTAGAGCTCAGAAATTCACCTGTCACGTCACCCAGCTAAAAGAGAAAGTTTTCTTGGAATTTATATCCCTAAAGGAAACAATGTTTACTTTGAGTTTATTAAAAGATACAAAGTTTCCTGTAACTCCCGGGAAAGTGACATCTAATCTTGTGAACTATAGTGAAGAAAAAAAAAGGCTGGCATTTGCATTTAAAAATCAGCGCCGACATACACTTTGTATTGCAAAAAAAATTAAGAAAAAAAAATTTGTAAACCAAGGCATGATTTTCATTCGTAAACCGAAAATTACGTTAACCGAGGCGTTGGTAAACCAAGGTACGCCTGTATTAGTATTGCAATCCTTTGTATTGGGATACATAGAACCATCATACATCTGAATTGGCAACATAGTACAACATTTGTGTCACATTTGAGATACCTGGCTAGTTACACTGACCTTGCCCAGGGACTTAGACTGGCCATACATTATGCAATTTTCATGAGATTTTTGGTTTAGATTTACCAAACACCATATAATAGGTCAAACCGAACAACACTTTCAATTGTATCCAATTATTCAGGCTCTTGCACTACATAATTGAAGGTAAATCTAAAGGAAATTGGGCATAAATTGGACAGAAAATTGTATAGTGTATGGCCAGCCTTAGGGTTGATTCACACCACAGAAATAGAGGCTGGATTAGTGTTACAGCTCCATGGATGAGCGCAAGGTCGGTTTGAATCCCAACCACGACAATGAAGTTGCATGATCTCACTAGGCGGCTACCCTAACATAGATGTGCTGGTGGCAGCATCATTGATTTCTGTCTAAATGATCCCTAGAATGTGAATTAGAATGAGCTCGTCTGTTCAAACACCTTCAAAGCTGCACCTTATCTGAATGTCAAACGATGGGATGAGGGCCTGGACTAATGATTGATTTGATAATGCTGGTTTGCACCTCGCCTCCTTCTGGGAAGGGTTTGTCAAGCTGAGAGGGAAAAGAGTGAGCGAGAAGGAGCGAGAAAAGGATTTAAAAATAAATAAAATAATGGCATAGATCCCCCCCCCCCCCCCAAATCCATAACAGACCCTTATCCGAGCATGCAGATACCGCATGCCTTCAAAGATTTTTTTCCTTTGTTGAATTTCCTGCTTGGTTCACACTAGATGCGATTTAAAATTGTGCTTTTTGTTGGCAATTTCATTGTGTTTTCTGTAGATTTACCAACAAGTTATTGCGTTTTCAATTGTTTTGCACTGCGATTTCTATTGTAGTCTATATGTGAAATCGCTGCAAAATGCAGAAAAAGTTAAATAAGAACTACTTTTGAAACTGTGCTGCAGCAAATCACATATGTTAAAACACTCACATCCACATTCATTAGATCCGATATCAGGTACAATTTCAATTCCCAAATCGCACCTGAAATCGCGCACCCTGGATGCAACTTGGCATGAGATTTGCATGCCCTGCTACTTGCAAATCGCATGCCAAATTGCACCCGATTTGACCAAGGGCTAACACCACAGTCACATCTAATCCGATTTGGAAATTGGGCAACTTACAGTGAAGTCACACGATTTCAAAATCAGATTGGATGTGAATGGAGCCTATAGTGGACAATAGGGTGCGACTTGGCCTACAATTTGCAAGTTGCCTGTCATGCAAATTGCACCCGATGTGACTGGGGGCCACCCCGGTCATAGCAAAGCGGATTTTGAAGTAGTGTGACACTTGGAGTGGAATAGATCTGCACAAGAAGAAAGTGAAACTAAGTGTGAGGAGGAAGGGGCTGACAGTTAAGTTTCTTAAAATATATATATTTTGTTTAGCCAAATTAGTTAACAAACATGGATGTTTGTTTAAGCAAATAACATATGCTGGAATGTTATTGTTTCGGTTGAATAAATCTATTTAAATTGTTATTAAGGTAATGATTATTTTTCTCCTTCCTAAGTACAACAGAAAAGTTGTCCAAATATGAATGATTAACCTATTAAACTGGGGATAAAAAAAAAACGAATATGAAAAGTTGTTATTCTAAAAATCTTCATCTACTTGCATATTAAAGTTATACCAGCAAGAATTAGTCTATGTAGAAAACTAGGATTTAAATCAAGCCTTACTGACTAGTGATTTAAATCAAATCCACCCTGGAAAGCACACTTCATAAGAAGTATAATCTTTAGATTGTAAGCTCTTATGAGCAGGACCATTCTATTTTAGCAACATCAATCCTGCTTTTCTTTTTTTTTTTCCCACCAAGAAGTTGACCATACCTACTTGTTGCTGCTGTCCAAATAAATGTTTGGACTATGTATTTTTGGGAGGGTATTTCATATTCAATATACTAGCACCCCTAACACTTATATTTTGTGAGCAATATAATATATGCCCAAATCTAGCTTGTTAGAGCACACATATGCAGGTATGTCCAAACTAACAAACCAAAAATCCCCTATTGCTCCACAAGACCATGTTATGTACCAATGAATAGGTCGTGTTCAATGTACAGCTAGCTATTCTTTTTCTACAATCCTCTTATCAGTAATAAATTAGGCCCCCAATTTATGTTGATTTTAGCCTTTACTGGCAAACATATATTCACCAATGTCATATACACAATACAGCTGCAAACATATTCACCAATGTCATATACACAGTAGAGCTTCAAACATAAATTCACCAATGCCAAATACACAATAGAACTGCAAACATATATTTGTGAATGTCATATACACAATAGAACTGCAAACATATATTTGTGAATGTCATATACACAATGGAGCCGCATGGAAAATTGCTATGGTGCACAAATAAATGCCAAGATGGCTGTTGGAGGAGGTGCAAGAGCAGCTATCATACCGGACATACGTAATGACGTTTGCGGAAGGACGTTTCCGCGCACCCAGAAGTGGTAGTGGGGAGTGTTAGTGGATGGGAGTTTAGTTAGGAGAGTTCAGTGGTAATTTGCAAATCTATTTTTTGGCTTTGTGAACTGTTCTCTGGACATGGTGAGATCGCTGTTCTCGACCAAAGGAGCTGATCCACATTTGCAGGGGAAACATTACTAATAATTGTCGTATTTTCAGTTGAAAACATGTCCGATTCCTAGATACATTGAGGTACATAACAGAGGTTCAAGGTATTCCATAGAAGAAGTTATTGTTCTTCCTAACTATACAGGTGGCACAGACACAAGCATACACCCAGGGCCACTGTTAGATATCACGGGGCCCCGTACAGCATACCTACAGCCTCCCACCACCAGAGAAAATATCCAAATTATATTTATGGTAAAAATACAGTAAAAACATTATTAATGGACACAATCCCAACCAAATTCCTGTGAAATCTAAATAAAACCGTGCTGAGTTCATAAATAAAGCTGTGTGTGTAATTGAGGTCTTGGAGCTCATTCACATGGGTGCTGTGGCCTGTAGAGTGGGAAACAGAAATTTGTTTTTGTGGCTG